ATCCCATATGGGCGCCGGCTTCTAGTCCTGGTTGCTCCTCTTCCAGTCCAGCTCTCTGCTGTGGCCCGGGAGTGCAGTGGAGGATGGCCCAGGTGCTTGGGCGCCTGCACCCGCATGGGAGACCAGGAGGAAGCACCCGGCTCCTGGCTTCGGATCGGCGTAGCTCTGGCCATAGTGGCCATGTTGGGGGGTGAACCAACGGAAGGAAGACCTTTCTCTCTGTCTCTCTCTCTCTCTCACTAACTGTCAAAATAAAAAACCCTTAAAAGTATAAATAAATAAAAATAAAAAAAGAAGCAGAGTAGCCATGACTCAAACCAGGGACTCCCATGGGCATCCCACAGAGCAACTTAAGCCCCTGTGCCAATTGCCTGCCCTCTTCCTCTGCAGAGAGGTCCTTGGAGGAACAACATGGCAGCAGCTGGTTAGGCGGGCAGTGCCGGGCCATTCCCAGGCACACTGAAGTTGGGGAAGCACTGCTTTGTGCTGCTTTCACTCTCCCCCTCCCCCTTGTCTTCTTCAGTCATTGTACATTCTTTGAAAGAGACAGAAAAATCAGTGTCTCAAAGCGTCTTACCAGGAAGGACTCAAAGCTCCTGAACACAGAAGCAGGGCAAGGGTTTCTATGCATCTTGGCATTGCTTTAGACAAAGTACAGGAACCGTGCAAACACTTAAAAGGTTCCAGAGATCACAGTAGCAGGTAATGTGTGTGCACGCAGGCCCAGCTCGGGTCCGGTGACCCAAGGCGGTCTTAAGAGACTTGGTTCTTCCTGTGTGCACTGGCTCTTGTTCCCAGGGCAGCTGTAGCACAAGATGGAGCCACCCTCACGGCAGAAGCCTTGTTGCTGGAGATGAAAGGTGAAAAGCCATCAACAGCCCCAGCTCCTGCCAAATCCCAGTGGCTTCCCTGCCAGCCAAGACTATATAAAATGCATTTGGGAATTTTGGCGTTTACCAAATGTGAAATCCTGTTAATATATAACTGTGGCGAGTCGACCCATCTTAGAGATAACTCAGTGGGCTTTGTCCTAGAAGATTTAGAGTCCCCTTCCAGAAACTGTCTCCTCCTCTTCGCACTCCCTGGCCTGTGTGCCCCAATCTGGGTGAGGCCATCATAGAGAGAAAGAGATTTTCTATCTACTGGTTCACTTCCCAAATGCCTAAAACACCTGGACTTGGCCAGGCTGAAGCCAGGAACACAGTCTGGGTCTCCCAGGTGGGTGGCAGAGACACAAGTACTTGACCCATCCACTGCTTCCCAGGATATGTAATAGCAAGAATCTGCATGGGAAGTAGAGTAGCTGGGGCTCAAACCCAGGATTCCAATATGGGAATGTGTGTATCCCACACATTTTTTAAAGATTTATTTATTTGAAAGAGCCAGAGAGAGGCAGAGAGAGAGGAGAGAGAGAGAGAGAGAGAGGGATCTTCCATCTGCTGCTTCACTCCCCAAAGGGCCACAATGGTGAGAGCTGTGCCGATCCAGGGGCCAGGAGCTTCCTCTGGGTCTCCCACATGGGTGCAGGGGCCCAAGAACGTAGGCTATCCTTTATTGCTTTCCCAGGCCATAGCAGAGAGCTGGATGGAAGTGGAGCAGCCAGGACTTGAACTGGCACCCATTTGGGATGCCGGCACTGCAGGCAGCAGCTTTACCTGCTACCTCACAGCACCGGCCCCTCCAAGGAGTGTCTGAACTGTTGCATCCAATGCCTGGTCCCCAGAGGTTAGTATATTTTTAGTGTTTATTTTTGTCACTTAAGGGAATTATGTGGATACTTTTATTTTTTATTTATTTATTTTTTGACAGGCAGAGTGGACAGTGAGAGAGAGAGAGAGAAAGGTCTTCCTTTGCCGTTGGTTCACCCTCCAATGGCCGCTGCACTGCTGCTGGCACACCGCGCTGATCTGAAGGCAGGAGCCAGGTGCTTCTCCTGGTCTCCCATGGGGTGCAGGGCCCAAGCACTTGGGCCATCCTCCACTGCACTCCCTGGCCACAGCAGAGAGCTGGCCTGGAAGAGGGGAAACCAGGACAGAATCCGGCGCCCCTTGCCGGTGCCGCAAGGTGGAGGATTAGCCTAGTGAGCCGCGGCGCCGGCCTGAGGATACTTTTAAAAGTTCATGGAAAATATGTATTACAAAAAAAAAAAAAAAAAAATCTGTGCATGGATTTCAAACATTTCTGTACCAAAATGAAGTTAACTCAATTCCCCATGAAGGTTTTGAAATCCCTTCACGTATCACAGGCAGTTTGAAGGACACCCGCAGGCCTCCCCTCCGTGGAGGCATTGTGTTCCCCTGTTGGGGGGGGGGGGCACAGGGCTGCTACTGCCCAGTCTCGAGCTGTTCGTCTTGGGTAGGGGTGCACCCGGCAGGTTTGTAGCACTGCGCCGGGCCTGTGACACACAATGCGGCAGAAGTCTCCATTTTCTGGCAGCCTTCTTAGTTTTATAGTTAAGAGTAATCTGTTGACCTACGATGGCCTCATAGCCTTTGAAATGCACTTTTTGAAGAAAAGAAAAAAAAACATTTCTTGAACACTGTTTCTGTACCTCTCTAATACATCATTTTAAAGGCAGCTGAGCACGGAGCCCAGGCGCTTTTCCTTGTCACCAGGCAGACATGGCTAACTTGTAGCTTCACCTTCCAGTGCTCTCCCTGGAGACAGAACCACACACACGATCCTCACGTGGCTTCCGAGGGGTGCCCGGGAGGCAGCTGCTAGACCCCTTCAAGGGAAGGTCAGACTCCACGCAGACAGGCAGCTCAGTCGTACAACTCTGACGCTGTCAAAAATGTTCGAATGTCCACCAGTAAAAATATTTTATTTGCTTATACAAAATACAGTCATGTACTAAAATGCACATAACATTTTCATTCAGCTTACATTTTTAAAAAGGACAATGTTGATTCCAAATGCTCTCTGTTTACACGGCATGTAAACATTGTTCTAGGCCCAAATTATTTGCTGAAGTTTTATCCATCTCTGGGGATTTTAATGACATTATACGTGCTTTTAGAGCATCAGATCTGCCAAGTAGAATGCTTAAGCCACGCACATGACCATGACTGGCTGCATTCCAGGCAAAGCCAGAACTCTGCAGGAACAGGAAGCTGTGAATGTACAGAGTTGCCTCTTCCATGCACATCTGGGCCATCTGCAGTTCTGCTCTCAGCCCGTGCACTCGCACCCATCACGAAGGACCATGGCAAGGGGCGCAGATGGCCCTGGGGGCACCCGCTCTGTGGGGGAAGTGGCCAGTGCGCCCGTGCAGTGCCCGATGTGTGTATCGCTCTTGCTTGGCACATGCCCCGGCAGCCATCACCTGTAGTAGTGCCCGTGTGCACAACTTGAATAAGTAAAAATTAAGAAACCGTGTTGGGCCGAGCGTTTCACAAAACGTGCTACACCTCAGTCCACTTCGAGAGTCGAGCTGAAAACTGAATCCACGCAGGAAAGGAAAGCACACCCTGGGTTCTGCCCTCCACGGGGGCTTCAGACGGGAAACGGCCTCGCCGTGGTGGCCACACACAGTTCCGGGCCTTCCCACTGGCCGCACTGCGTGGGTATGGAAAAGGAACTTCAACAGCACCGGTCTCAGGGCAGCAGCTGCCTCTCCCCACCCAGGAGGAAATCTAGGACTTTTGAAAGCAAAAGAGAACACCACCAGCTCTTCACAAAGCGCTTAATAGCTTCTGGCATTCAACTCTACATATACCAGCAAAAGTAGAAAAGTGTCACTACCTTTAAGAAAATGGCATCTTACCAGATTTTAAATCTCTAAGAAGAAGAAAAACCCAGTTAAAATTTGATTTTTTTTTCCTTGTAAATCTAGGCTCTGGGTCCAATTTTGTCTACTGCAAAGTAGCTAATCCCCCAGACAGAGCCAATATAATTGGCATCGTGGCCAAACCTTCATTCTGATAAAAAAATAAATAAAAACTTCAATATTCACCTAAGAAAGTCCAAGCTCGGCCACCTTCACAAACGCTCAGCCTTCAGGGCCTCCCAGGAGGCCGGCCCTAGGACCCCCTGGTGTAATCTTCCTGACATAAGCACAGCCCAAAGGTCACACACCTGGGAGCAGACAGGCCCAGAGAGAGGCTCGTCTCCTGCACACAAATATTGCAGCAGAATGAGACACAGCAAAAATCACAGTGGGGTGACAAATGGCCACGTCCCCTGACCCCTACCAAGGCCATGAAGGATAATCTCTGAACTTGAAACTGGCAATCAGTGGGAAGCTCTGTAGTGCTCATGATGCATTCTAACTAGATATCTAAAATAAATTAATTCTCCAGTTTGAAAGGTGATTCGGTCTTCTGTGGAAATTTTCCCTGAATTGGCGGACGCCTGAGATCACACCCGCGTCCATCGTCCATCGTCTTCTCCCAACGAGGACGAACGTGTGTTGTCCTGAAAAACATCTAAGCAGGCCCTTATCCTAAACCTTGCTCCCACACGTCTTTGACAGTGGAATCCAAACTAAACGACTCAAACACAAAATGCAGTAGTGCCATGAGACTTTACAGGAACAGCTGTGCTGATCGATGTTTACTGTGGAGACGGACCACCATCAAAGCAAGTGCATATGGAGACTGCAAACCTTCGCCACCTCTGGTTCTTAAGCTCATACAACCAAGTTTACCCTTGCTCCACTTTATCTTCTTATGAAACGACCCTCGGCACTTATTTTGTTGGCATATGCTAACACACATACACACGTCGTCAAGAGGGCACGGGAAAAACCCCAGGTCTCTTCTGTCTGTGTGAAACCAATTAAGGCACTGACTGCCTGGACAACCTGGGCTGCAGACACGGTTGCTGGGGAAACAAATTTGCCTCTGCATCGCTGGCAGAGCTAGAAAGCACAGACGGCCACGTCTGCAACGGAATCTGGTGTAAACAGGGCTTTTCTCTGCTGAATTGGGGCTCCACACCATCAAGACTAAGGGTTAGAGATTGCAAAGGAAAACGGAACATTCTGTACACAGCTCAGCTTACCGTAACTGGTGCTCGCTTTTATTGAATCATACAAATTTGAATGGGGGTTCCTGAATATATACTTAGGTAAGTTAATTTTGGCAGCAACAACAGATTTCAAAACACTTAGTAGCTTCTCATTTATATACAGCTTTTACAACAAACAGTGTAGCATGTTTTTTCAAAACCATAATCTTAAAACTGATGTGCTTTCAAAGTTAATTGGTAATGATTTCTATCCTAGCTTATTTAAGAGAATTACTGTAAAAGGATGGATGACATGGATTTCTCTTAAAAATACAATTTTTGGTCATGTGAATGATTCATGTTTAGATTTCAAAAATAGAAGACATCCTAAAGTGCATCATTTTATTTATAATAGAATTCCTTGAAATTATAGCGATCTGCAATGTAAACAACAAAGAATACCAAACTATATTTTCATATACATTTACATTTGAAGGTCATGTACCGTCTTTAAGTGTGTGGGTTGAAACCAGGGCACTTCCAACATATAGCTTATGCTTCTTTCTTGATTTATTTATTTGAAAGGCAGAGTGAAAAAAGGGAGAGACAGGGCTTCCATTGCTGGCTCACTCCCCAGCTGCCTGCAACAGCTGGGGCTAGGCTAGGTCAAAGCCAGAAAGTGCAGTTGGGTCTCCCATGTGGGTGGCAAGAACCCAAATACCTGGGTCATTATCAGCTGCCTGCCAGGTGCATTTGCAGAAGTGAGATCAGAAGCCCAGAGTAGCCAGCACTTGAACCAGGCACTCTGACATGGGATACAAGCATCTCAAGCAGCAGCTTAACTGACCGCGGCACTTCGCTGCCCCCATCTGATTAGTGTTGAGAGCAAACCTAAAGGCTTGGTTTTTCCCCATGGCCTATTACACACTTTTCAACAGACAGAGAACTGCCACCTCACATCAGCATTGGAAAATGGGGCTATGCAGGAGCTCATGATCCATTTTTAAAACCCGACAACTGGCTTACGTTCTGTCTTCCTTTCACAAGAACAAAACTGTACCCTTTAAGAAGGCAACTCCCCAAACGTACAGGAGGGCCTGCACACCCACGCTCGCCTGCGGCACTCTGCAGAAGGCACGCACCACCTCGCCGCGGCTGGCCGAGCACACGCCTGGGCTGCACTCCAGCCAGCCCTGAACCCCCTTCGCTCAGGACAGACAGGCAAGATCACAGAGTGACGTCAAGCACACTGAGGAGATGAGTGATTTAGTGTCTTGGGTTCCCTGGTCCCTGCAAAATGTCTAATATAGACAGCTTTGTGACACGGCCCTTGGAAACATAACTGGCCACACACTTATTTTCTTCTTGTAGTGTGGTTGACGGTCTGCCTTGGGCTGAGCTCTGAGGACTGTGGCAGTTTGGGGATCTTAGTGCAAGTTTGCTTTTTTGGAAAATTACCCTCAGGTAGGTCCTCGGGAGGCTGAGAACACAGGCTCCCTCTTTCCCACGATCCTCCACGCAGAGGCTAAGTTTCTGTCTGGCTGGTGCTGCCCCAGCACACTGGCGCCACCTGCTGTCAGAGTAGGGGAGGGACAGGTGCAGTGAGCGGTCTGCAGAGACTCCCAGCACTCCCCCGAGCCTCTGCTGAGTCAGGGATGGAAGCTGTGGGTCAGCCGTGCAAGGCCTGAAGAAAACCCCTCTCGGCGGGCTCAACTGCACCGCCCCCTGGGCTGGTGTGGCTACCTGAGAGCTGAAAGGAAAACAGGGCACAGGCGCGCGGGCAGGGCGCGGCTCTGCGGGAAGGTGGCGAGGACGGCCAAGGCAGCAAAGAGGGCTCTGAGGCAGGGCCGCGCCGGCCTGGGTCCCAGGAGAACACGGACCTCCACAGCAAGTCCGCTCCGCAGAGGAGAAGTCCTGAGCTTGTTTTTGTCACAGTTGGACAGAGACTGGTCTCGTGTTTCCCGGCTAGCCAGGGCAGGACACTACGTAGTCTGCGTATGGGAGTTGTGAGTGCTCACGGCAGGTGTTGGGCGGGCCGTCCGTGCAGGCGTCATGGCTTTCCCACGGCAAGATCCCTAGGTCAGCCCACGTTGTCGTCTTCCCTGGAGGCGGGTGTTAGAACGGGTACCGGTGGCAGCGGCCCAGAGCAGAAGGGCCCGCGCCGAGGCTGCGTGCAGGGGAACAGGTCCGAGGTCTCCCGGCATCCGCCCAGCTCCCGGTGCCCAGGCTGGAGCTTACATGGACTTGGAATCCGCGTCTCTCTTGCTGATGAGCACCTCCAGGAGCCTCAGCTTTGCCTTGATGTGCTTGTACTCGGTGTATTCTTCCGCCATGGGTGTGCGGTCTTCCTTCTGGACGTTTCTAACGGAAACAGAGGAGAGGGGGCTGAGCGCCATTTGCTGTCTCTCAGAGATGTTCATCAAACAAATTGCCATCACGTGGAGACTTTGCAGTTTATCAACCTGGAGAATCCGTGGCACCTGGCATCGAGCCTGGAGCTGGATTTAGATAAGCAGTGAAAAACACCTCCCCCAGAAAGAACCCCGTGACTGAGTGTTAGAGTTTATCTGGCATCCTGTAGAATGATAGCTGGACTCAGAAATGCAGAGTGGTTCTCTCGTGCTACGGGTGAACTCACATTAAGAGTGGCCATCCATACATCCTGAGTTTATACTTAATTCTCTTCCACTGTATCTGTCTCCTCTAGCAAACCATTACAGTTCGAATTAGCAACTGGTATATCTACAATTTACAGGTTTTACAAAAAACAACTACTGTTCCTCCTCAATATAAAATTGGTTCAGAAGTCCTTACGGTTTGCAGAGTAGTTTTACATGCACAAATGTTCACGGCGAGCTTACTATGGGTGAAGCTCTGTGCTAAGTACCTTATAAGCGCCATCTCCCGTAACTCATACAGCAACCTGATGCCGTGCTATCGGCTACGTTCTATAAACCATGAATCTATCCAGGCTCCCTGCTGCTGCACAGCGTCAAGTCCCTGTCAAATGCACATGGCAGACATACAAACTCCAGGCTTCCTTTTCTAATTATTTTTTTTTTGTAAATATTTATTTGTTTGAAAGGCAGAGTTGGGGGGGGTCGGGGGTGGAGACAGAGTTGGTTTTTTTTTTTTTTTTTTTTTTTTTTTTTTTTTTACAGGCAGAGTGGACAGTGAGAGAGAGAGAGACAGAGAGAAAGGTCTTCCTTCGCCGTTGGTTTTCACCCTCCAATGGCCGCAGCAGCTGGTGCACCACACTGATCCGAAGGCAGGAGCCAGGTACTTATCCTGGTCTCCCATGGGGTGCAGGGCCCAAGCACATCCTCCACTGCACTCCTGGGCCACAGCAGAGAGCTGTCCTGGAAGAGGGGCAACCGGGACAGAATCCGGCGCCGCGACCGGGACTAGAACCCGGTGTGCCAGCGCTGCAAGGCGGAGAATTAGCCTATTGAGCCACGGCGCCGGCTGACAGAGAGCTCTTCTATCCAAATGGCCATGGCTTGGCCAGGTTCCTCCAGGTCTCCCCCATGGGTGCAGGGTTCCAAGCACTTGGGCCCTCTTCCTCTGCTTTCCCAGGAGCATTAGGAGGGAACTGAATTGGAAGTGGAACAGCCGGGATTCGAACCAGCATCCATGTGGGATGTTTGCACTGCAGGTGGCAGCTTTACCCTCTATGCCACAGAGCTGGCCCCTGTTTCTAATTGCTAAAGAGCAACTGTGGCAAGGGGAGTAGAGTGCAGCTTAATTTGTCAAAAGAACTAAATCTAACCTGACTTTATTCATGCCTGCCTTGCTCTAGAAAAGGGTTCTAGGTGGCTGCTCAGTAGGGAGCAGGGGCCCAGGACTCAGAACATCAGGCACCACTTCCAGCTGTGCTCCGTGGGGCTTCACTCTCCTTGGATACTCAACAGCAGAAGCAGGGTTTATGCTAGCCTAAGTTCCTCATGGCTCTAAGCTTTCATGATGGTCCATTTCCATCATTCTACCTTAAACTTGTGCAGGTTGCATAATTATATATAGTTTTTCCTGTATAGGATTTCTGTGCATAATTTGACAATAATAGCAAATAAAAATATAAATCAAAAATATGCTTAGAAAGAAGACTGGAAGGAAATGCATCACAACAGCCCTGATGTGTTTTGAAGTATTATTTGGGTTTTTAAAGTTTTTTATTTATTTATTTGACAGGTAGAGTTACAGTGAGAGAGACAGAAAGGTCTTCTTTCCACTGGTTCACTCCCCAAATGGCTGCTATGGCCAGTGCTGCGCCAATCCGAAGCCAGGAGCCAGGTACTTCTTCCTGTCTCCCATGCGGGTGCAGGGCCCAAGCGCTTGGGCCATCCTCCACTGCTTTCCCAGGCCACAGCAGAGAGCTGGACTTGAAGAGGAGCAACTGGGACTAGAACCTGGCACCCATTTGGGATGCCAGTGCCACAGGCAGGAGATTAGCCAAGTGAGCCACGGTGCCGGCCCTGGGCAATTATTTTGTCTGCATACTTATATTCCCTAAATACCTGCAACGTGTGGAGAATGAAAGGCAAACAAGTGTACGAAAAACATTATATGATGGGGCTGGTGCTGTGGGGTTAACGCCCTGGCTTTAAGTGCCAGCATCTCATATGGGCGCCGGTTCTAGTCCCGGCTGCTCCTCTTCCAATCCAGCTCTCTGCTACGGCCTGGGAAAGCAGTGGAAGATGGCCCATATCCTTAAGACTCTGCACCCGCTGCATGAGAGACCCGGCAGAAGCTCCTGGCTCCTGGCTCCAGATTGGCACAGCTCTGGCCGTTGTGGCCAATTGGGAGGGAACCAGCAGATGAAAGACCTCTCTGTCTCTACCTCTCTCTGTAACTACTTCAAATAAATAAAATAAATCTTTTTAAAAAATTATAGGACAGATGCAAATCAGAGATCCTAAAAATAAATTTATATGATAATTGAACTAAACTGGAATACAACATTTTAAATGCCAACGTCAATTCTCATGGTGCTTTTAGAAGAATAAAAAGGCACTGTAGGCAAACCATACTGTCACAGTTTAAATAATTAGGACAAAAATAAGACCAATTTAAAGTGACAACATCTAATACCAATTCAAGAGATTCCAGCTGGGGCCAGTGCAGTGATGCAGCAGTTAAGCCGCTGCTTGAGACGCCGGCCTCCCACACTGGAACGCTGGTTCAAGTCCTGCCTACTCTGTTTCTGATCCAGCTTCCTGCTTGTGAGCCCGGGGAGACAGGAGAGGAGGGCTCAAGTACATAGGCCCTCACCACCTATGTGGGAGACCCGGACTGAATTCCTGGCTTCTTGGCTTTGGCGTGGCCCAGCCTTGGCTGTTGTGGCCATTTGGGGGATAAAGCCGCAGAAGGAAGCTCTCGCTCTCTTTGCCTCTCGCTCTCGTGCTGTCACTCTGCCTTTCCAATATTCGAATACATATTTAAAGATTCGGCTCTATCTGGGGTTCTACCCTTGGGCTTGTGCTGAGAGGCTGTCTGTGCACAGTCACTTATCAACAAAAGGCTACTTTTCAGCATAATGTTATATAAGGATGGTTCTGTTAGACCTTAAAACTCACTGGAGAAATGCAATCTGTCAGTCAAGCGATCTTACTCATAAATGCTTCCCCTGTATATATATTTCACTCAGACTTGGCCACCATCCCTGTTTTTAAAATGAGCATAAAACTCAGTACAATTTTCTCTCTAGTTTCTTGAGAAAAAACCCCAGCGCTGTCAACTGGAAGCCGAGCTGCAGGCTGCTCATTTGAGATGAGAATCTGATGTGACAGCTTAGCTTACAGCCCTTAGCTGAGCCTGCGCGGCCTTGGGCGGTGTCCAGGGGGTTCTGCCTCCTGGAGGTCTACACCCACCACATCCTCTCACAGTCAGCCTCGCAGCGGTCCCGGGCACCGGCCAGGGCCAGGTCACGGGGAGGCGGCGGAAGCGTTCCCACCTTTGGGGGCCTTCCCCCGATCTGCCAGATGAGAGAAGAGAGGGGAGCAGAAATGCACTACCTTCCGTTCTGTCGGAAGAAACTGTCTTCAAAATCACGGAGATTCTTTCGAATCCTCTTCTTCTCTTCTCTCATTTCCTGAAGGTGTTCCAAGAGCTCAGGTCTGAGAGCGAGAAAGAAAAAAAATTCAAGAAGATGGAATCTGAACCGCAGTAAACGCAATGCACTTCCAACTCCACAGTGGGAGCGGGGAAAACAACACCACACGGAAGCTCTGGGGGGCGCTGTGGGTCAGCAGAAATGGGCCCGCACTAGCTCCAGGAAGCCCAAGCGTGGACAACAGAGCCAGCTCCTGCTACTGCTGGCTCCGCAGGGCTTGTGAAGTCCCATGGCGCTTTGTCATGTTTTTCTTTGAAGGGAAGTAATGACATCTGTGCTCAGTGTGTGTGCAATGATGAGCCGTGCAGAGCGCGCTACCCAGTGCTATTTTCAGAGACCTTCTGGTGGTTTAAGCCAGATCTCAGATGCTGCCTTCAAGTAACACGGGATGAGGCAGATTCAAATACACACACACACACACACACACATAAAACCTGAGCCATAATTTTTTTTTAAATCACTGTTCTACCCCAGGTTAAGCCACTTGTGTTTTCTTAATTTCTTTAATTAAAAGATTGAGACAACATGAAGTAGCTTCAGAAAGTTGGTGAAAAATAATTATTTTGGTACAATTTGAAGTTTATGCGTATAAGTGGTCTTTGGAAAGTGTGCATTAGGAAAACTGTGTGAATTTCAAAATTCTTTTGTACCAAAATAAACTTAACGCTGAATCCATTTTCCAGGAACATTTTAAAGTGCCCTCGTACTGAAGAATTTTTACTGAAATGTTTCACCACCACCACTTACATTGACGCTGCATGAAGGTTTGAAAACCCTGTGTCCTGGCTGCCTTTGTAGGGTATTTTATCGTCCATTGGGGAAATGAACCCGTCGGCATCATCTTCAAATTGGTCCAGAAAGCAGCGTGCGCTGAAGTCCGTCATCAGCGTGACTGTGAAGTCTGGCGTCGTGTTGTGATCCTCTTCTGACCCCGCCTCTTCTTCCTGCAGGTACACAGCAACCCCAATAAAAAGCTGCTCACTTTTTGGGGGGCTGACTTTTGTTACAAGTGTCACTTAACAAAATCATTCAGTGATCCGGATACCACATAATTTTTGCATGTCTACATGCAGCAACACATGGCAATTCATTAAGGATATATGTTGATTATCTGTATGTACAGAATTAAATCACAAACACAGCCACCAAACAGGGAAAACAGACTAGAACAGAAAACTCGTGAAAGAAATGAGAGTGCTGCCCGACCCTCAGTTGTCAAGGCTGATGGGAGGGAGGAGTATCCATCATGATGTATATCCCACATCAAAGGAGCCAACACAATCTAACTATTTCTGGATCTGTGATAGTGCAAAGCAAAACCCGATGCCAGCCAGTGGTGCTTTAAGGGATTTTACTACTTGTATACTCCAGAGAGTACTTTTGATTAGGCTCTGAATATTTCCCAAAATTGAATATAGCTTTTCTGTTTAAGAGTTGAGAGAAGAATGCATCTGATGGTTGCTCAATGCACAAAAATTTTGAGATCAAAACTTTTATATTCCTGTGACCAGAATAATAAAACTTGAGCTTTTCCAAGGCATTTCCAAGGGTCATGACTGTATTTTGCAGCATCCAAGGTTCTAAGAAAATTAGGATGCACTGTCTTGATAATAATATAAATGGAAAAATGATGAAGTCCAATCATGGCAACTTAAGGCTTAGTGAGCCTAGGAAGAAATAATTTGAGAGTCTGAAGGACTTCAAAAGTAGTAATTTGCTGCCAAATTGCGCTCAGATTAGAGAGAATATTTATATCTTTAAAAACTGGTGAGAAGTACAGTTTTACTTTACTTATTTGAAAGGCAAAGACAGAGAGACAGACACAGGAATCTATTTGTTCCCCAAAACCTGCAGCAGCTAGGGCTGGGCCAGGCTGACGTCAGGAGCTAGGGATTCACTCTAGGTCTCCCACATGGGTAGCAGGGAGTGAACTACTTGAGCCATCACCTGTGGCCTCCCAAGGAAGCTAGAATCAGGGCAGAGCTGAGACTCTGATATGGGATGCAGGCACCAAAGCAATGTCTTTACCACTGTGCCGAATCCCTGCCCCAAGAATCCGGCGTTATGAACAAGAAGACGGTAGCTGTAGTGGTCAAACCGAATGGCTGCGGTGCTCTGCTCCCCTGGGGGCATCTGGCCATGTCTGGGGAGGCTTGTGGTTGTTGCGCCTGGGGAGGGGGCAGGAGCGGCAGACTACTGGCTTGTAGTAGGTGAAGTCCAGCACTGGGCAGCATCCCACAAAGCACAGGACAGCACCCAGTGCAGTGAGCTGGCCCCAAATGTCAATGGTGCTGAAGCTGAGGGGCCTTGCTCTGGCAAAGACAAAAACGTGTTTTTGATACTGTGACAGTAGGCAGGGACTTGGGAGAACTGAGAGGGCCTCGGACTACTTGTCAGCTCCCTGTCCTGCTTAGATCTTATCCACAGTAATGTCCAGGGCTGTGTATCCGTTTTCAGAGGGACACAGGTAAACTGGGGTGTGTGTACGCCGTAGAGCGAGTAGAATGCTGAAAGATCTGGGACCCATATCACGAAAGGAGTGGTAACCTTGGAGACAAGGTGGGGGCAGTGAGTATGACAGCTGACTACACTAAACGAAGGGAAGAAGCCATGGGTGTTGCCACGCTGCTCCAGGGGCCCAAAAAGCCTAGTGGATAGAATTGACAACTGCAGACTATATGATTTTTCAATTCTCTACGTGCCCTGTGAAATTTTATATTTGAATAACAATGATACTTTGGAATTAAAAATAATTACAGAATCAGTTTTTAGCTGGTGGTGATGCTCAGCCCACGTAATAAGCAACCACGCCCTCTCACTGCTGAGGACTTTGGAGGCCTGGGGATGGGATGCCCTCCGAGGGGACAGTGTCTCTATTCTGGCCCGGAGGTGTTGGGAGGGATTCTTACACTGGACAGAAGAATCGCCTGGATGATCTTCTAGGAGGAAGACCTAGGCTTCAGCACTTAAGTTGGCTCTGGTTCACACACAGCTGGTTCCCTCCCAAAAGTCCTTCAAGCCAGAGACGAGTTTTAAAGAAGCCACTTAGCTACGGTCTTCTTATCTGCACACAAACCAAAATCTACAAGTATCAGAACCACCAGGAATTGGTACGGTCCAAAATACAGGTGAATAAGCCTGGCCTACTGGGGCAAAATGATAGTGCTATTTACAAAAGCAATGTAACCATTGTAAAATTATCTGAAATTACGGCCAGCATGAGGGCCGGGAGGTGAGCCATGGCCAAAATATACTTATGAGAAACCACAGTCTACAGGGCAGGAATGGGAGGAAGGCCCTCGTTTCAGAACACAGTATTTTCAATGCCTTCAGCGAGGCAGGCAGCGACTAAGTGGCACATTTTCACATGCTCAAGAACACATTATTTAACCTAGTAACAGTTCTGTTGCAGGTTGCTAAGAGAACTGCTACTTTTCATTCATACAATTGCTCACATTTCTTAATTATGGTAGTTTAATTCTTGTGTGATGTTACCAGCTGGAGAGAATCTGTCTTCTTTCAGTAGCATCAAGGCTTGGTGGAAGAAAACAGCTCTAATCTCCAAGACACAATACAGCACACTAGCCCAATCACTCAGGGCCACGGGGACAGCGTTTTGAGAAAACAAGTTCTATGTAAAATAATACGAGGACTGCCCACAGTCATTGCCTAATACCTTCAAACTGGGCCTAGGAGGTATTTCAGATCCCTAATGGGCAGGACAAAGCATAGAATAAACCACAGAGACGACTTTGCAGTTTGTGGTACCTTAAGTCAGGCAGGAAAGCGGAGGCCTTCCCAAGTGGTGTCTCCCAGGAGGAGAGACCCTTCCCCCCCACCCCTGGTTCTGAAACCATCATTTCTAGCTGGCGTGAGTGGATAACCACCCGAGGCTTGGAACTGTCATGGAAACAGGACAAGCGAGAGTTTTTGTGAGACTCACTTTGGCTTTGGATTTTCTTCCCTCTTTGGACCTAAACAACTGCTAAAAATAGGTTGCTACTTTTTAAAAAAATGGTTGCCTTTTCTTTCTCATCTCCAGGGTCCTGGAGCAGGCAGTCCAGTCTGTTCAGCTGTATAGAAATAAAAACATGGAAGAGGCTGATACCAGCGCAGGCCAGCTGGGGGCCCACAGAGACACCGGCCCCTGGGCATGGATTAAAACTCCCATTCTAGGAAAAGCAGCCACTGAGGACGAGGGTTATTTGTATAAAGTCCACCATGACTGCTGGGGGAAGACCAGGGCCCATGCTGCAGCGACAGCTGGTCACAGAGGACAGACTGAGTCCTGAGGACCCCGGGTGTCACGGAACAGCAAGAGGAAGGAAGAGCGGTGGAGATCCATCAGACAACTAAGGTATCTGTCTATAAAGTGACCATCTTTCATCCTGGGTTGTACATAGAGCCTTTGCTAATTTGAGTTTTCTAGACTTAGCATATGAAATTGCAAAAGAAAAGTTGGCCCAATGAGCTAAATTAAGAATTTGGGATATAGAAAGTTCATTTCTAATAGGGAAAACAAAACAGAATAAAACAAAAACATAAAAAAACAAAACTATGATGGAAGACAAGACAAAACTAATCAAAGTAAAAACAAACCAGACAACAAGCAATGAAGAGAGAGCGCGAGCCTCAGACACCCCGGAGTCTGTCACACAGAGAGAAGACAGTTCAGAGCTGGTTATACGGAGCTTCTGATTTGTGGGGAGTGCTCCCGGAAGCCCTCACCAAAGAGCCCAATCACAACCCTTTCCAATCACAGACGGGCGGTGGGGAGGGGAGGGAGGGGGGAGGGGGAGGCAGATTTAGCAATCGGTGGGCAGCTGTGTCTTCACCTTTATCTCCTTGAAGAAGGAAGCAGTTTCGCCCTCGATAATTGGCTGCAGCGAAGGGCTTCTCCGCCTGCTGGAGGGGGACCCCTGCGACAGGTGTTGACAAGCAGGTTACATCAGGAAGCCCTTCCTTCGGCCTCAGCACTCTCTCTCTCCAGCTGCTAACTGTGCCCTAAGCCCCTCCCAGCCAGGCACTCCCAGGACACCTGCGACCACCACAGCAATTCTTTTCCAAACTGCCACTTGGGCCAGCACGTGAGGATGCTGGCCTCGCACCCAGAGGTCCCAAGGGGAGACACCTGCCTCCTCACCTGCTGTCCTCCCCGGACTGTAACGACTGGAACACCTGACCAGTAATAGACCAAGGAACGTCAGGTGCACTCCCTAAGTGACATCTGCCTGCTGGGGGCCGTACATTCACCTGGTGCAAGCACCCTAAGGGGCTCCTCAGCAGACAATGAAAGATCCCTTAATGGGAATCCTTTGATTGGTCAGCTTCATTCATGCCATGGGCAACTGTCTGAGGTCTTTGGAACGTCTCTCACTCATGAAAACTAGCATGCTGGTAAGAGAACTGTGAGGAGCGAACCCCAGGCCCAGCGGTTTCAGGCAGGGTGAGGTAAGAGCAGAAGCTAACACAAACATGCATTCCAACAGCTACTTCAAAGCCAGGGGGCGACTGCTGACCCCAAAGCCAAAAAGGCAGCAGAGGGGAGGAGCACAGGGGCACAGTGAGCCCCCAGAGAAGGCCGGACACCCCCACCCCAGCCACCAGCTGGTGTAGGAACTCCAAGGCTGGGCCCAGGGTGGGGGCAGGCTGGCCAGGGCCCCAAAGGTTGTCCCATGCCTGAGCAGCCCTCCCTTGTCTTGATGGGCCCACAAGGAGCCAAGTGCAAGGGCGGGGGCCTGCGAGGGCAATGCTGCCATCCTCAGCCTCCCTCCCCTTTCTTTCACTCCTCCTTCCTCCCCATGCCAAGAGGAGGGGCCTCTCTCTGAGTCCCTTACAGGATGTGTCCCCAGCTGTGACTCCCAAGGGAGTGAGGCACCCTGGGGACAGAGAGGCAAGGCGTCAGCTCAGCGCACACCCCAAGGGAAGGCATGGCCAAAGCATGTCCCCCTAAAGCAGGGGTGGGAAGCTTTTCCCTGCTGAGGGCCAAGTGGATGTTTACGACATCCTTCGTGGGCCATACAACATTATCAACTGAGAAATCAGCCTGGTGTACATTTATTGAATTGAGTCCTGCCTGCAGTTGCCTTGGCAGGGCCAGACCCAATGATTTCTGGAGGTCTTAAAGGGCCAGCGGGCTGGATTTTCCCCACCCCTGCCCTAAAGCGGGGGGAAAATCCTGTCCGAAGCTCACTGCTTCAGACTTGCTCAGTTTGGACAAGCAGAGCCTCGGAAGTCTTTGATAAAGCCTTACTCCTCAAGCTACGAGCCCTGGATAGCAAGGGTCGGCTCAACGGTGAATGCCTAGGCTACCGAGAGAGGAGGTCAGGCACCTATTAACTTATCCAGGGCTCATTCAAGCAGAAAGAAAGGCACTATACCAACCACGGAAGGTAGCACACTCACAATGATGGGCACGGCGCTGGCCCGGGACAGGATCTGCTTGACCAGCCGGTACCTGTCGTACAGGGGCTTCATGACCTGCCGTTCACTCTTCGTTACCTGCAAAGCAAGAACAGGAAGGCTGAGCAGCCTGCTCCTGGCAGTCCCGCCGCCAGCTCTCCGCACAAGGCTCTCTCTCTGGACCCTTGCAGTCCCAGCAAAAATACAGATGATGCAACTTCAGTCTTATTAGCCGTAGATTGCTTAAACTGATAATATTATTCCTTCAAGAAACATCGAAAATATCTCCTTCAGTGGCTCATCAGTGGAAACCGTGTCCCCAATTTTAGCACCATTTGCTCTAAATCAAAGCTATGCGCCTTCTTAGGGCATGCACAGAACTCCAGGTTCTGACTGTTTTTTGGGTCCAGGAGAAGAAAACATGCATTCCTGTTATAACCTTCATTATGCAGTCCTGCCGTCAGTATCAATATACTCATGGGTCTTTCTCACCCATGACGCTGCTGTGTTTTTGAAAACAAGACTCTGGTAAACAGGACATATTCAAGGGACATTTGCTGAGAGAATGCATGGATTGATTCGTCCCTGTATTCCCAGAATCTGGCACTGGGCTCAGAAATGGTAAAGGGTTGGGTCTCCAGGCAGTGGGGAGGAATCTGGCCTGCTTTGATATCTGAAGTCCCCCAACCATCTGCTGCTTCTCTTCTCCCCATCAGCCCTTAAGTTCCAGGAATAAACCAGGCACCTCCTGGCTCCTTGTCTAATTGCCTCCGTGCCCCTTGCTTCTTGGGCAAGCTCCAGAGCAGGACCCCCTCCCTGTGCCACTGCCTTCCAGAACTGCCCCTCCAGCCCATGCTGGGCGCCTTCCTCCTCCTCTCTGTGCCACCTCCTCACCCTGTAATTTCACAAGCACTTGACAGTCTACAGTAACCACTTGCTGACACACTGTCCCCACTATTACATCGTAGGCCCTTGGGAATACGAGTTTATGTTTTGTATCCTTAGGAACTACCTCAGTGCCTGACATAATGGAAGTGCTCCACAAATCTTTTAAAAAATGAATGAATACATATTTTAAACAGAAACGTGTCTGCCTGGTTCACAGGGTGAAGTATCTGTTTTGGGCTAGTGTTTGCTTTTTGCACGCTGTTCCCGTTCCACAGGTGAGAGGGCCAGAGTGTCAGAGGCTGGGAAGGGCAAACAGTAGCAGCTGTGCCCATTTCTCTTCTGGGGCTTCAGGGCCTTCAGATGCAAAGATTACTTTGGATTACGCATAAATGGATTAGCTCCTGTTGACTCTGGTATTTGCCTTGCTCCAAGTGGCCAACAGGAAGTGCACTTGGGAGAAACCTACAAGCCAGAGCAGGATACTGCCATCACACAGAGCTTTTTGCTGGTTTACTTCCTGTCATTAGCGATAATGCTAACCTTGTATGGTCTTGCCTCCGCTATCTACCATACTGACAGGTTTAAAATCGGTATTTCACCACAAATGACTTCAAAACTGGAAAAAGACTCAGAAGTTATTTCAGCAAAACAACAACTATGAAATCTGAGGAGTCTACACTGGCACAGCAGGTTAAGCCACCGCCTGTGATGCTCAAGGCAACAGAGACAGGTCAAGAACCCAGGCTGACTGACCTTCAATTTGGATTCCTTTTCATTCACAAATAAGCAGGATGTGGAGTGAGGCAGGATCCCCAGCACAAGGTGCTGAGGCAGCTGGGTCAGCGTCTCCCTGATAGGAAGCATCTTGCCGTCCAGGCTGAGGGCTGTGCTCAGATGGAGCTTACAGAACTCTCTGCTCCTGAGCAGCCACTGAAAGCCTGCAAAATTAGGCTGGGGACAGATGAGAAGCCATGCTGCCTCCCAATCTTGCAAGCAAAACAAAGAGGTTTGGCTTTGTGTGAGCCCTAACGCTGCTAGCAGAGGACCCAATGAGATGATTCTAACAACTGTTGCAGGCTTAGCCCATTCACCTGGAACATGGCCACTCTCTCTTCTTCCTATCACAGTAAGCTGCCCGTGGACAGGATCAGAAAATTCGCAACAGCGCACGAAGGCAGAGTGTGGCTGCCTGGCTCGGACACCTGCATTGCAGTGTGACCAGAGCTGTGCTTAGTGCCTGTCAGTCCCCCAGGTTTTGGAGCACGAGGTTAAAGTACACCTTGAGCAGAGACACAGAGCCCAGGGGCTCCAATCGCATGGCCCGTTTGGCTGCTGTGCATTTGCTCTCAGAGAAGGAGAACATTCGGAAGGTGTCTTGGGGAGTGGCAGTTCCTCACTGCACTTCCGTGACACAGTCTTCCTGAGATGCTTAGGTGTTAGAAAGGACACACACTGATAAGAATGAAAAGGGAATTATGGGGGCGGCATTGTGGAGCATCGGGTTAAGCTGATGCCTGAAATGATGGCATCCCACATACAAGTTCAGGTTCGAGTCCTGGCTGCACCACTTTGGATCTGGCTCCCTGATAATACCCCTGGGAAAGCAGCAGGCAATGTCCCAGGAGCTTGGGCCCCTGCACCCACATGGGAGACCTGGATGGAGTGCCAGGATCTTGGCTTCAGCCTGGCCCAGCCCTAGCCATCTGAGGAGTGAACCAGAAGGTAGAAGATCTCCTCCCGCCCTTCATTCTGCCTTTCAAATAAATCTTTTTTTTTTTAAAGGAATATGTTCCCACGTGTAAATGTTTTGGGTGTCCACACACATGTCAGTCTGCAGACAGCTTTGCTAAGGCAGTGCATGACCCACCATGCTGGCCTGGGTTAGGTAGCATCTTTTACCATCCATCTGCAGAAACTCAAGTTTTGAGGCCATGCTTTGGGAAGAGCATTGAGGCTGGGAGTGAGAGTTGAGCTCTCAAAGTGCTCGTGTTTCTCTTCTAACCATACTCTTGTCTTAGGGCTGGCCAGGGTAGCACCACAGGTCTGTGAATTAAAAATTCGCTCTCTGATTTTCCGACTGGCCAGACAGCAAAGGAACTCTGCTTTTCCTGGGGTGGTGGGAGCATCATGTCCCGGTGAGAGGCAGAGTCTGGCCTGGGAGCAGAAAGAAGAGAAGCTCGGATTTCCTAGAGCATCTGCTCCCTGCCCCGGGAGACGCATGGTCTCGTCCCGCCTGGACAGCTGATGAGAGACGAGGGAGTAATAAGGCAGGGCAGCACCTAACATTTCGTGTTCGTGGCAAACGTGCCTGCTTTCTCCTGATTTATCATTTAATCAGAGGCCAGCTGCAGAGAGGAGAATGCGTAATTGTAGCAGAAGGGAAAGCTATCATCATCTGGGCAGCCCCCCACGCCACCCCGCCCGGCTCCCTCAGTGCCAGACATCCTACACGTAAATACATACTTGGATGCAGAAACGCCTCTGTGTGTGTCTGCAATGACACTGCATCTCCATGACAACCATGACAGCGACCTATCACAGCAACAAAGCACGGCGATGCCCTGAGTAGCCAGATGCCACAGAGCTGATCTTGGTGGGGCTGGGCTCTTTCTAGTGATTTTGCTGTCTCATTTATTTGGGAGACAGAGCCAGCCAGCCAGAGGTCTCGTGTCTGTTGGTTCACTCCTAAAATGCCTCAACAGCCAGGGCTGGGACAGGCCAAGGCCAGGAGCTGGGAAGTCAAATCCGGGACTCCCATGTGAGTGGCAGTGACCTACACACTTGAGCTGTCACCTGCTTCCTCTCAGGGTGCACTTTGGAATGAGGATCAGAGCCAGGACTGGATTCCAGGGATACCATCATGGGGATAAGGGTAGCCCAAGCAGCATCTTTCTCTTTGAAATTTTATTTATTTATTATTTATTTGAAAGAGTGACAGAGAAAGCAGGAGACCTTCCTTCTACTGGTTCACACATCAAAGGCCTGCATTAAAGCTAGAATTGGCCGAGAAAAATATAAGAGCCAGAAACTCAATCCAGCTCTCCCATGTGGACAGCAGGGACCCAAGTATCGCTCACCCCTGGGCTGAATTCTGAATCCAGGTGTTCCGATTCTAAGGCTCACAACGGCTGCCTACCATCTGTCTTGCAGAAAGAGACAATCTGCCCAACTTCGAGCAACCAACTCAACTGGCAGCAAGGTCAAGTCTCTCTACAGGGCAGCTGTACATTCTTGGGTAAGGGAGTCCTTAAATGAGCCCTATCAAAGCCACGGCCCAAATCCATACGATGAAAAGAAGGGATGTTAAGAAGAACCACATGTGACTCCCACCGCCTCCTGCCCCAGGACCCCGAGCAGGCCCACAGGGTTCTCAGTGTGCAAGCATGATGGGGATTCTCTCTGTGTAAAGGAGGTCAGCTCTGCCTCTGCAGCTTCTGAGCCCTCCAGGAGAGACGGACAAAGTTTCACCACATATTTGAGCACCAGAGCATTTACTGTTTGGTTCAGTGCCTTTGCAAATCCGAGACAGAACTTGGCAGAAACATGAATGTCATCCCAGAGAGTCAGTATTTTTCCACTACAGGGCCAGACCAGCAAAACTAATCAGTAGCAGCAGCAGGAACATTTGAAAAACAATTTAACCAGGGGCTGGGGTTGTGTGGTGCAGTGGGTTAAGCTGCCACCTGTGATGCCAGTACCCCATATCAGAGTACCAGTTTGAGTCCTGCCTGCTCTGCTTCCGATCCAAAGCCTTGCTAACAGTTCAAGTACTCTGGACCCTGCACCCACCTGGCAGGCCCAGACGGAGCTCCGGGCTTCAGTCTGGCCCAGCCATGGCCACTGGGGAGTGAACCAACAGATAGGAGAGATCTCCTTCTCTCCCCCTGTTGCTGCCTTTCAAATTAATGAATAAATTAAACTCGTTAAATTCAGAACCGAATGCAATGGAAGACTCACTCCAAAGAAAGATGCTGGGCACATGTTGTGTCATGTCTTGTGCTCAAAACTGTTGCCCTCACGATCTAGAGTGTGCTGAAGCATTCTGCAAGCATCTTGATTTAGAAAGAGTAAATGTGAGAGGAAAAGGCCACATCCATTTTCTAGTTATGGCTGAGGCTAAAAAAAGAGCCCTCAGCTTTTTGCCTACATAAAAGTCCATCTGTGGAACATAAACTTCATCCTTCCTTACGTCTGCTTTTAAGAACTTGCTTCAGGGGCTGGCGTTGTGGTGCAGTGGGTTAACTGCCACCTGGGATGCTGGCATCCCTTATGAGCGCCAGCTGGAGTCCCAGCTGCTCTGCTTCTGATCCAGCTCCTTGCTAATGTGCCTGAGAAATCAGTGGAAGATGGCCCAAGTGCTTGAGCCCCTGCCACCCATGTAGGAGACCCGGATGGAGTTCCAGGCTCCTGGCTTTGGCCTGGCCTAAACCCGGCTGTTGTAACCATTTGGGGAATGAACCAGCAATTAGAAGACTTTCTCTCTCTCTCTCTCTCTCTCTCCCTGTGTGTGTGTGTATCTCCCTCTCTCTCTGTAACTCTACCTTTCAAATAAATAAATATTTTTTAAAAAACAGAATTTGTTGGGCAGGTGTTGTGGCACAGTTGGTTAAGCCACTACTTGGGTGCACCAGTCTCAGCTGCTTCCAATCCAACTTCCCGCTAATATCCTGGGAGGCTGTGCTTGATGGCTTATTGCTTGGTTCCTGCCACTCATGTGGGAGACCAGCATGGACCCCCTGGCTCCTGGGTTTGGCCTGGTCCAGCCCTTGCTGTCGCAAGCATTTGGGTAGTGGGCGAGCAGATGGAACTCTTGTTTGTTCACTCGCTCTCTCCTCCTCTTTCTCTGTTGCTTGGTCTTTCAAGTCAACGAAAATAAATAAACATTAAAGAAAAAAGAATTTGTTTCACTGAGTTCTTGACAGATATTCTGAACAGAGGAAATTAAGAGTGAGCGACGAGAGGATGTCTGATTACAGATTCCTCCTAAACAAGAGTGACAGCCTATCAGGCCCGTCTCCCCCACATGCTCGCTGGAGCACCAGTCATCCATGCGCTTCCTGACACCAGGAAAAGCAGAGGCGTGTATTACACTCCTTACACTTTCAATTCTGAATGGCAGCTGCAACTGCTTTCTCGACAAACACTGTTTGCAACCACACAGCAGAGAGAGGGAACGTGGGAGCAGATCACTGGAGCTTACCACCTGCATTTTATGGATGAGTTCATGGGCCAGGCGAGCCTCCTCCCTCCAGGGCTCTGCCTCCGCACCCAACCCCTCTGCCTCTGGTGACTAACGGTGACCTGCAGAATAACCTCTGTTGGACCTTGATTGAGTTCAGTGCCTCCTAGATAGCGGCACACTCTTGGGCAAAGACTTCACAAAGCTTAGTAACAGTGTAGACAGTAACTTCCCTTATTCAAAAAGTGAAGGGAGCAAACATGAGCAAACCCCTCTACAAGATGCTGAACACAAAAGATCCCCCCCCAAAGCCAGGGAGCCCCCCCCCCCCCCCAGAACTGAGGACGTTACATACCGGCCGCCCGTGGATGCTCTCATAATGTAAGAGGGCTTTCTGCAGGGCCACTTTCTCGTTAGCAATCTGTTCTTTGGTCATATCCTGTGTAAACACAGGGGAAAAGCCTCTGTGAACATTCCAGCAAAGTGAAGAAGCATCCTTGTGCAGCAGCTCTCGCCAGCCCTAGCTAAGCTCACTCAGGAGCGAGCCAGTCCAGACCCCTCGCTGGGGACACGGCCCAGCCTCACCAGCAGCTCCCTGTGACCTTCCAGGAGTGGCAAATTAGGGTGACCACTGCAGTAAGCAGGGCTGGGAGGCACACGGGCTTAGCTTAACGAACCAGGCCCCGAAGGTCTAGAATCTTCTATTCCAGAGCATTACCAATGCAGCCATTCACCTAAACAAGCTCACCCTACAAGGTACACGGTGGTTCTCTGCTTGCCATCTGTAGCAAAGCCCAAAGTGCCCAGAGATGAAATGAGCAGAAGTGGCCCTGTCTGCCCCCAGGCACGCATGTATACATGGTGCAGAAGGCGCCATGCTCCCCATCGCGGTCTCTGGCGCACCCCACGCGCCACCCTGCTGACGGCCGCGGTCCTGCTCCTCGCAGGAGCACCCACCTTGATGTCCTCAGGGCGGCCGGCCTCCGCCCGCTTCTCCTGGAGCTTCCTCTGGATGGATTCCAGAGTGACTTCCACACTCGGCTTCACTGCTTTCTCTACCAGCTCTGGCTTCTTGCTGTCTTCTCTCTCGAGCTGGGACCCGAAGCTCTTGGGGAGCGTGTTGCTTCGCTGCCGCGTGCGGGGGGCCAGGGCCTCTTCAGAGATCTTCAGTTTTGACTCTAGTTGAGAAGATTTGGGGATAGGGCTGAGAACTGTCACCTGCTGGGCCCAACTCGGTTTTCAGTGGTGACAATATCTGCTTAGGTATGTCTTTTTTTTTCTTCTTCCCCTAGAGAGAATCTAACTATGATATCAGTGGAAATCCCTGAGATAATCCGAATGTCTTCCTGGGTGACCTGGAACATCTGCCTAGCCCATAGTCCTGAGAAAGTTTTATCTGTAACATCTCTGATTCTACCACATCAGCCTGGATGTTCCCAGAATGTGGCCGATGCTGTTCTACATGTCCTGTTCAAAGGTATCAGTTGGCCCAACTGCTGGCCAACACATACCTCCTGGTGAAATCACTTTCTCTTTGTATTCCATGTAGAGGTTTCTAGGACTCTATGTCTTTAAGACAGCAAGCTCTCTGAGGGACAGGGGCCTAACCCTTTCTAGATGTATGTCCATGTCTATGTGTCTTCTAACCCCACAGCAAATGGAGCCTGGGATTAAACAGGTGCTCCAGCCACCCGCAAGCACTGGCTGGAAACCCTCATCCTTTTGTTAGTGGTTTCGGGCAATGAAGAAGTGCAGGAGAATTTGCAGTGTAGCTGAGCCCATGAGACGATCTGGGGAGGCATCCTGCAGGAACCCAGGGTACCCGAGCAGTGGCACCCAGCACAGGGGGTGGTGGTAGGACCTGAACTGGGTCTGTTGTGTCCACTTCACCTCAGCTCCAGAAATTCACCCACCTTTAAGCTGTTTCCGGAATTTGGCAAGGTCGTTTGTCCATTTCAGAACCTCCGGGTTGGCCGCCTTGTCGCTGTGGGAGGGCTGCGGAGAGGAATCCACGGTGAGTGCACTGGACTATTTGATGATCACTTTTAAGTCAAACAGGAAGGGAGAGTGGCGTTCCACCCGAAGTCAGAGCGAACTTCACAAGTGTAATTCCATCCGTCTTTTTTTTTTTTTTTTTAATGCTCTCCAAGTATTCCTCAGAGACAAAATGCTGCATCTTTAAGATCTGGGAGGCCTTGGACTGCCTTTTCATCAGTTGTAGGATTCAACCCATAAAGCTAACAAGAGTAGAAAACAGAGGACCAGGGAATAGTCCGTGCTACAGCCACTGTGAAAAATGTTCTCTGGGCACTGCTGTGGGAAAGAGTTAAGGGCAGGGCTGAGAGCAGAACAAGCTGGTGAAATCTGGGAATTCAGTTTAGCCAGACATGATTTTATTTAGTGATTTTTCCCGTTCCTGCTCACTGATAAATTTACAAAATGCAGACTTTAGCTTCCAAGTTGTCTGCACAGATACACTTGTGCAAGGAAAGTGGTGACAGGTGCCGGTCGGGGTTGATCAAGGTTTACTGACCCACTGCTATTGCACTACTGGGATTCCCTAGCGAGCTCTCCTTCTCTTGGATCCGTGCCCTGAGCTGTGAGACGCTGGCATGGCAGGGGAAGTCGAGACAAAGACAGCCCGAGGGGCACTTACCCTGTACTTCCGCTCCTCTTCAAAGCGGTCCTCAAACTTGCGGATCTTCTTCTTCAGGCTCTGAATCCTCCGTGTGAGCTGGGCAGGTGTCAGGTCCTCTTGCTCGTCATCACAGGAGCCCAGAGAGGAGCTGCGGCGCCTGGGAGGGACACGGCTTGGGTCACTTTCCCCGGGAGCGGACGCTGACTGCTGCGGGGGGCTTTGGGGGCGTGCTGAGTGCAGAGTGGCAGGAGGAGGAGAGGCTGGGGAGCCTCCCTCCCCTTGAGTATGAGAAAGCTGATGGACTTGTCTAGGGACTTGGAGCTCTGTACCAAGTGGGCCAGACTCCTCTGGGACTGAAATGTTTGCTGTGAGTCCAAGAGTTAAATCTGAGAGAGCGCCTTGGGAAAGCAGTGCCATTGGAAACTTGCTAGGTTTGGGCCACCGTGCAACTGGAAGGTACAACAGGGCCAGTGTCCAGGAGGATGGACTTCACACACAAGTCCCTGCGCGGGGGCATAACTGAATTTCGGAAAAGGTGCTACTAGCCATCAGCGCCATTCCTATCTATCCTGGCTCATGTCATCAGCAACACGGACAAACGTACCTCATAAAAGAATGGGAATTGGGGGGAGAAGGAGGCACTTCCGTGTCATCCAGGTACTGCCTGCTCTGCCCGTAGGCGTAGAAGCGAGGGGACAGCATGGGGTCGCTGTCTTCATCCAGCAGCTGGCGAATCAGGCGCCCGGCCTGTGGGGAGAGGCGGGCCTCGTCAGAGTCCACGCTCTCCCGCTGCCAGGAGGATAAAGTAGGGATGGGTTCTGGAAAACAAGGGTGGGAAGAGGTCAGGGCTGTTCTGAAAGGCTCGACGGTGTTCCGAGTGCTTCGGGAAGCTGCCCACTAATGGTACTGAAGGGGGCCGGAGGTCACCAGGGTAGCTCGCAGCCACCGCCTCCCCTCCATCTGCCTGGGCTGCGGAGGAGGCCATCCGTGCCCTCCTCCTCCGCTCTGCAACAGGACAAGCGGCCAGCGGCGTGCTCGTGGGGCATGACGGGAAGAGCCTGCCCGGGAGGAAGGTCTTTGGCTCCGCGGCTGGCTGTCCCTCCATCGCGGGAACACCCGAGGGATCCGGCTATGAATCACATGAGCCCTGCAAGAGCCTGTTTGTTTAGGACCTTGCGACGACGAATGTTTAGGTGGCTCAGTCTAAGCCGTTTCGGGTGCTTCTGCTTAGTGGGTTGGGATTAGCACATTCATGCTTTGCTATTGAAAGTTAAAGGTGGCATTTGGCTTGGCAGTTAAGCCAACTGCACCTCAAACCTAGGATGCTATGCAATACATGCAGAAATTTCAAGTGAAAGAAACAGCATTTTGGGAAGGAAAAGGTAATGTTTATTTCTTTTCACTGCAAGCTCACCTCAATATAATCCTGTCCTTGTTGAAAAAAAAAATCATATCTAAAAGATTTTAAAGCTAGATCCCAGGGGCTGGCCTTGTGGTACAACAGGTTAACCTGCTGCTGGGGACAGTGGCATCCCACATAAGAATGTCAGTTTGAGTTCTGTCTACTCCGCTTCTGCTGCAGCCTTCTGGTCATGTGACTGGGAGGCAGCAGATGATGTCTCAAGTACTCAAGGGCCTGCCACTCATCTGGGCGACGTGGATGGAGGTCCTGGTTCCTGGCCTTGGTCTGGCCCAGGCCTGGCGGTTGCAGCCATTTGGGGAGTGAACCAGCAGAGGGAAGGTCTGTCTGTCTGTCTGTCTCTCTCTCTCCCATTCAAATAAATAATCTTTAAAAAACAGTAAGTCTCAGATGATACTAGGATATTTCATTTGTAACACTTTGCATTAAACAAGTTATGCTTTTAATGCACCTGTGGATTACCATGATTTACAGAAGGCTGGAATGTGGCCAAGACCTTAAATTATGGGATTTCTGAAAATTAATGAAATACTTATTTTTTCCTTCAAATATAAAACTGTAAAAATGTGCACAATTATCTTAAATAAGTGCTTGTTCAGCATCTTGTCTAAAGGATCAAATTGCAATCATGGAATGTTAGGGCTGGTGTTTACTTCATGCATCCTCTCGGCTAATGATCTCTCAACCCTGCCTGCAGGTTAGTTTCACACAGGGAGATGTAAATAACTACTAACACACAGGTCCCTCCAACACCCAACTAAACAGAATATTTAGGAGAGGGCCCAGGTATGCTCCTGACTCCATTTTTAAAAGTGGTCCAAGTAATTCCAGTGGGCAGCCAGGTGTGAGAACCACTGATCCAACCCAACAGACTATAGACAAGGAAACTGCAACCTAAAGAAATTAAGAGCAAACCCCTCTGCAATGGCCAGAGCTGGAACTAGAAGTCTGCGGACTTCCAGATTCGTGCTTCAGCTGAGAACGTGCCCAGTGCTTCCCTACACAGGTGAGTGTCGGCGTTTGCTGAAGACCTCACGGTGTAATAGAGAAGAGAGGCACATTAATTTGAAAAACACAGGGGCTGGCACTGTGGTGCAGTTGGTTAAGCCACTGCTTGCAATGCTGGCCTCCCACAAGAGTGCCAGTTTGAGTCCCAGATGCTCTGGTTCTGATCTGACTCTCTGCTAATGCATCCAGGATAGAAGATGGTCCAAGTCCGTGGGCCCCTGCCATCCATGGGGGAGACCCAGATGGCTCCTGTGCCTGAGCCATTATGGCCCTTTAGGAGTGAGCCAGTAGATGGAAAATCTTTTCCTCTCTCTCTGTTACTTTCACATAAATAATCTTTTTTAAAAAATGTAACCTGATATGGAACGCTTATCGGTTCCCCAAATTTAAGGAGAACCAACATATCTGGGAACACGGATGATAATATAAATATCTGGAAAAACACAAGCAGTGCCAAAGACAGATCCTTGTGTACTCAGGCTCAAAGAGCAGAGGAAAATGCATTGGTGGCTGAACTCGGCCATAGCCAGCGGCCAGCAGGGGAGGCGCCACCAGGTGTCCTGACACTGCTGGTCTGGTCTGCTCATCCCACTGCCAACCCGAGGAAGAAAAAGCAGGCCGAGGGGTGAGGTGACAAGAGGATGAGTGGAAAGTAAACCCTTGAAAACATGGACAATTCAGCGCTAAGTTGCAGAAAATGCAAGCATTCAACTGACAGGAGCACAGCTCCTATTTCAGGGTATTTCGTCAGACAGCAGCGATGGTGAAGAGGGACTAATATCCCCCAAGCAGCACAGGAAGGCACTGCAGCAGGCTGCAACCTCACTTCAAAGGAGCAAAACAAGCAGGGGGAGGGGCTGGAGGGTTCCCTGGGGGCAGAGGGCCTTGCCTAACAGAGTCTGATGTTGATGGCTCAGTTTGACACTGCTACTCATCAAAACAGCAGGTGAGAAGGTGTTTCCTAAGGTCCTGAGGCCCCCTGGATTTGTCTGACTGTAGCACAATCTCTCTCCAGAAATGTGACTACAAATCTTTGTATTGTCAGCCATGTGGACACTACGTTTTGCAAAAAGAGGGTGCGTCTGTGTCCACCAATCAAACATGTCTCGAATAAAAGATGGGCTGTTATCTTGAATTCACTAGAAGATGAACTGTCATCTTGAATTCGCTATAAAACACTAATCGTGGAACTGAATTTTGACTGTCTGATGCTCTGTGGGTAACACAGCATCATTCATTTGGGTTCTTGTTTGCTAACACAGCTTTATGCTATGGCTCTGTTCTTTTAAAAAAAAAAACTAAAAATACTTTATTTGTTTGAAAGCTGTACAGAGAGCAAGAAGGAGGGAGAGAAAGATCTTCCATCTGCTGGTTTATCCACCCTCCCCCATATCTATAATAGAAGAGGCTGAAGTGAGGAGCCTGGAACCCCACGGATGCAGGGACTCGACTACTTGAATCATCGCCGCCACCTCCCAGGGTGTACATTAGCAGCAAGGTAGTGCACGGAGGCGGAGCTGGGGCTTGAACCCAGGGATATCTGCATGGGATGCGGGCATCTCAACCACTGGGCAAAATGGCCACCCCTGGGGCTCCATTCTTGACCAATCTCTTAGCTGACAGGAAGATCAAATGTGTCCTATTCCTGGTGTCAGCAGGGGTAAGTGGGAAACACACAGCTGAAGAAAGTCTAGCTTATGGGTGGCACGTCCCCTAAAGCACTCAGTGAGGGTCAATGAATGCCTTATTTTAAAATGTGGAATGCAAAGCTATGACAAAGGTCACCTTTAACACAAAGAGAGAGCAGTGTTTCTTTACCAGCTTGCATATAGCACAGGAGAGAAATTCTCACTGGCATAACATGAAATATTTGCATGAGTTCTCTCATTTTCCTGTGTTCCCTGTTATTCTACAGTCTTATACTTTTTTTTTTTTTTTTTTTTTTTTTTTTTGACAGGCAGAGTGGACAGTGAGAGAGAGAGACAGAGAGAAAGGTCTTCTCTTGCCGTTGGTTCACCCTCCAGTGGCCGCCACGGCTGGCGCACTGCAGCCGGCGCACCGCGCTGATCCGATGGCAGGAGCCAGGTACTTATCCTGGTCTCCCATGGGGTGCAGGGTCCAAGCACTTGGGCCATCCTCCACTGCACTCCCGGGCCACAGCAGAGAGCTGGCCTGGAAGAGGGGCAACCGGGACAGAATCCGGCGCCCTGACCAGACTAGAACCCAGTGTGCCGGCGCTGCAAGGCAGAGGATTAGCCTAGTGAGCTGCGGCGCCGGCTTACAGTCTTATACTTTAAGACTCCTATTGAAGAGTTACAAGATGACACGCTATAATAGCTCAATATAACTCAATCAACACAACCAACTATTCCTGTGTTTTAGTTTGCAATGATCCACAAATACAAAGTCATCTCAACATTTTACAGTTTGTATCCTTGTAGAAAAGGTAAATGAAATTAAGTAAGAACAATGTAGTGCATAATATGTTCAATTGCATGAGCTTCTTAGAGAACTAGTTTTGGGAGGATATATCCACAGAACATTTCCAATTGCTAGTTTGGGAAATATTTTATATTTTAAACAGTGATTTTAGAGCAATGGAACAGATCAGTCTTTTGCAAGAAAATCATTCAAGGGAAAACAAAAAAAATTTGAGGCTTCAAATTGGATTTTCATCCTAAAGCACTACATAAAATAAATGCATTTTCAGAATTTCTTGGGCACAGTGATTTTGCCTTTGGTCATGTGCATGTTACAACGAACTCTGAACAGAAGAAAAACATGTCTCTCTATTAAAAGTTAATCCACCCAGGTCAGCTGATATCACAGCAGCTCAGAAATAAGAGGGATAAAAACTGTGTGTTTGCTGCCTAAGGAATAAAATGCAACAGGTCTTTTGAGAGTTCCCGTTCAGACACTATAACACATAAGAATAAAGAAATTGGGGCCAGTGCTGTGGCGCAGTGGCTTAATGCCCTGGTCTGAAGCACCGGCATCCCATATGGGTGCCGGTTTGAGACCTGGCTGCTCCACTTCCAATCCAGCTCTCTGCTGTGGCCTGGGAAAGCAGTAGAGGATGGCCCAAGTCCTTGGGCCCCAGCACCCATGAGGGAGACCCGGAGGAAGCACCTGGCTCCTGGCTTCGGATTGGCGCAGCTCCGGCCATGGTGGCCAATTGGAGAGTGAACCATCAGATGGAGGACCTCTCTCTCTCTGCCTCTCTTCTCTCTGTGTAACTCTGACTTTCAAATAAATAAATAAATCTTAAAAAAAAAAGAATAAAAGAAATTCATCGAAGAAGGAGTAGAGCTATCTTGGAACAATGCTATTGTGGTCACTGGGACAAAGCTACTCTTTGCCTACCTGGCTAGATCCATTCATTGAATAAAAGAAAAACCAGTCACTGAGACGATTTGCTTCTTAAGAATTCGGCACAGAATTAAGGGATCTGACATTTTCCATATTTCATTTCCAACCATGATTATTTACAAACATCACTTCTCGGTGCAGTGCTGTAACCACTTTCCTTTCAGGTATGCTGGGAGGTTCTTGCATATTTCAGACATAGAAAGGCACAAGCACACCGGGGAGGGGAGAACACTTTCATGACATTTTCCTTAGTGTTCCAGAATTTAATTTTAGTAGACCTATTAGATTGTTCAAGTACTCTGGCAAACTGTGAGTTAGACAGAATCTCAGCAGTCAAGCATCACCAATTATACATCCAACCTTTATATTTCATGTATCTGGTTTGCCCATTTGCAAAGTTAATAAGCAAGTTGTCAATGGCTCCATTTAAATCATCAGTAGATGTGTGGACCGAGATAAGATGGACAGCTTTTACCAAGGAGAATAACTGCCACTAGAATTGACTTGGAGGCACATATGTGCCCTTTTAAGTACACATACTGCATCAGTTACTAACTCACTCCCTGTCCACTCCACCCCCCCCCCCCCCCCACTCTCCCTCTCATTAAGGGCTTTGTCAAAGCCCAGCTTCCTGACGGCAAGGCAGCTGTGAGACCTGGCTGGTCCTTAGTAAGTTCACGGAGCACCTGGGAATTCCTGACTCCTCTTCTAGGTTCAGAGTCATCCACAGTCATTAGGTAGAGTCAGGCCCTGGTTTCAGAGGCAGCAAACTTTTCCTGAAATTTGGCTTGGAAATATCTACGGAAGATAGGACTGACGAAGGCTAATGCTGAGACAGGTTCACTAACTTGCCCACAGAGCTGGTTAACCTGCGGAGCCAGTACTTGAACTCAAGAGTCTGCCACGAGGCATAACCAGCATTGTACAGCAAGAGGCATCAGGAGACTTTGTTGCTTTGAGTCACTGTTTTGCCTCTCTGGGCCTCTACGGTCATAGCCATACGATGGGAGGGCTCAACTGGCAAAACTTTAAAATCCTTTCTTCTTTGTATTTCTTTTAAAGAATTTCCTGTCCACAGTTATTTTCAACAAGCAGTACATGATGAGTATGCTATATGAAGTATTTTATGCCCCTGTAAAAACGCCCTTTAAATTTAATTTTTTCAGGACAAATAGAGTAACTGCAGGTTTATACTCCAGTTCCTCCATAAATGCCACCCCAAGTCCACATAAGCTGGCTGCCTGGGAACATCCCAATTAGGCAGCACTGAAGGAATTTAAATAACACAGAAGAGTACACGTGATCTGTGCGTTCACTTAACTTTGGAGAGTGGAAACTCGATTAATAACAATAATACTAAGGCCATGTGGATAGATCAAGTGATGTAGCCTAAGACACAGCCCCATATGAGAAAAAGATAAAGCGACAGAGCATGGTTAGTGCTTAACACGATTAGACTGAGCCCGTATTCGCTGGGAGGCGCTCATCTATGCAGTCCATGGAATCCGCTCCTTAGTCTCACTTCCCTTTCTGTTTCCTTGCTATCCCGAAGCCGGAGAAGAGCATTTCTGTACTGGAGCGTGGACTACAGAGCTCACCGCAGAGGCTGCTCACGCAGAGCTGCCTCACCCGAGAGCCCGCTGTGCCCCATCTGTGGCGTGGGCTGGGGAGTGAGCAAGCAAGACGGAGAGGGGGCGGTGGTGACACCCCACGGGGCTTCCAGGCCGGTGAGGGAGCCCTGTAGCTCCCTGTAGTTTTAAAAAACAGCTACCCAGATTTCCAAAACAAAATGATGCTTCCCTTACATTATTATTTATCTGGAAGAAAATTCTCTATATTAAAGTGATGACAGTTTCAAGGGATATGCAAGTTGGCTTTCAACTGCTCTAAAGAAAATTTATGTTAGCCAGTGGGGACAGATTATAAATTTATGATGAAATAAGATGAAAACAATCGAACTGAGGGCATTTGAGGGGGAGGAGACAAAGTGGCTCTGACCAAAATTCCTAGGTTTATCTAGAGCTTCATGGAGGACCTTAGCACTATAGCCCAAATACAGCATCTCTTACTTTTTCAAAATTGTACTTATTTATTTGAAAGTCAGAGCTACAGAAAGAGAGAGACCTTCTATCAGCTGGTTCACTCCCCAGATGGCTGCAACAGCTGGACCTGGGCTGTTCTGAAACCAGGAGCTTCTTCCGGGACTCCTACATAGGTGGCAGGGGCCCAAGTACCTAGGCCATCGTCCACTGCTTTCCCAGGCCATTAGCAGGGAGCTGGGTGAGAAGTGGAGCAGCCAGGACTCATCCCATATGGGATGCCGGCGCTGCAGGCAGGGGCTTCACCCACTACACCCCAGTCCAGCTTTCCCTGAGTAACAGGGACTATTCTGAGACTCTGGAAGCAGGTGTATATTAAAAACTGACACATGTGCTTATTTCCAAGTACACAATGACAAGACAAAAACAAAACAATCCCCAGGAACACCTCACTTAGAAATTGAACAACTCTGCCTTTTTTCCTTTTTCTCAATGACTGCACTGGGAGCTGGAAAGATCTGACAAAATCCCAGACCACACTGCCTGACTGCGTGCAGAGAGCCAGAACAGGGTAGAGGGCGAGGGGAGGCGAGGCGGGAGGACTGCAGCTATGAAAGCCTGGGAGCCAGAACGCCACGGGTTCTTCTTTCTCACCTGGCAGTCTTGTCAGATCTCCTTCTGAGCCTGCATCTAAGACTATTAACCCACGGAACAGTTTTGGGTTTAAAAAGAAAGCGAGGGAGTGAGTGAGAAGTGGCAGGGGGAGTGAGAAAGGGGAGGGGACAGAAGACGGGCGCCCAGCAGAGCAGGAGCTCAGCAGGGCTGACTGCTCATGAAACAGTGTGTGCTCACTGTGTTAAGTCACCAAGCCCAGGTGCTGAAGTCACAGATTTGGGACACACATCCGTGTCTGGAGGCAGGCACAGGGACAGTGACAGAAGCAGCAGCTGCAATATCCTCCCTGAGTCACGGCTGCGACGAGGCTACCCTCGTCTTCCTCACAAGTCAGTTGGTGACATGTAGCTAAGAGTCTCCAGATAAAATCATCTAGCACACGGGAGTTCCAGGCTTTCGGTATGAAGCACTGTCATTTCTCCTTGATGAGCAAATCCCTTAAGTTTGTTAGCCTGAATCATACAAAAAAAGGTATCCACGCAAAACACACACAGAGGCAAAGCGAACCAAAGCCATTTCTTGAAAAAGGGGCAGGAGATTTCCCGAGGGGCATGAGTGGTTGGCAGGCAGGGGTGGGGAGATCAGGTGCACTGACAGGAAATCCTTAATTGTTCCTGATTCTCCGCTTGCTGCTGGGTGGGGGCTGGGGGAGGGACACACTTATCAGTGCTCCTGGTGAGCTGAAAAGAGAGGGCTGCAACGTGACACCAGGATAAAGGGCAAGCATGTATCCTTTCTTAGATTGCAGCCACCCTTGGTCACATTCAACCTGACACATTTCTGCAAGCATAGCTCACTAGCACTTGCTCGCGTGCTCTCTCTTTCTCTCTCTCTCTCTCTCTCTCTCTCACACACACACACACACACACACACACACACACCCCGATGCAGGACAGGCTCCTGATCTGGCTTCTTTACATACGCGTTACATGCCTCTCACTTGTGCTTTTTTTCATACGATTTTGCTGTGTGAAATCCCCCAGGTCCCATCAGCCGCCCCTACCTTCCCAGCTCTTGTCATCACACAATGCAGTCAGGTCCAGCTGGGGCACTTCGGAGCCGAAGCTCTCCTGCTGGTCTTCACCGGGGTCCTGGCTCCTCTGCTGTTTGGTGTCAGGTAGGCTGGCAGGCTCCTGGATCTTCATGGTAGGGCTCTGCAAAGCACAGCACAATGTCCCCGATAGCTCCTGCTCACCGAAAGCCACAGACGTCCTCAGCAGTAACCTCACTCCTTCGGGATGAAACCAGCCGAGCCACAGCCGCCAACACACCCAACACAGCAGCCACAGTCATGGCTTGATGACAGCCCCGGGAGCCCAGCTGGCCACTTGCACGCAAAAAACAACAGTCCACCTGCGTTCCAACTTTTCTTCTACAAGGCGGACCTGCCGATTTCCTGGGGCAGCTCCTTCGGATAACTGCAGGCAGCTGACACTGGCTGATTGCTGACTGGGGCCAGCCAGGAGGCAAAGGAGTTTGTGTTTCCTTAAAGGAGCATGACTCTCCAGACTGTAAACAACAACAAAAAAACCCGGCCACTGCTGTTGCTAGGGCCGCGGTAGCCTTAGCGACAGTGTCTCAGGCACCAGGCTTCTCTGCCCCTTAGGTAAACAGTGCTGCAGGGTCAGGAGCACCGGCTGCAGTGTGCGGCTCCCCTGCCGGTCCTGCAGGCTCGCATCAATTAAGCGGGGCTAACTGCACATTCCCAGGCTTCCTGCGGCTGTCTCCTTGCCACCAAGTCTGGGGAAGGCAGCCTATTTATGGAGGAGCGCAGGGTATTAAAGCGTTGTTGCGCAAATTCACACAGCGCTGGGGTTTGGCATCGCATCGCGGCCAGCAGAAAGGAATACGGGCTCAGGAAAGGAGCCAAAATGACACCGCAGGCACTTTTTTTTTTTTTTTTTAAATAGAAAGCCAAGAGCTGGCAAGTCGTTGATGCATAATTTATATCTTACGAATCTGCACTGTCACTTGTTTGTCTGCTGTTCATCTGCTTTGCATATTAAGTCCTCAGCTACACTAGGCTTTGCATAGAGGGGGCACCTACTCCAGGCTATGGCAGCTGAGAGACGGGAAAACCCTTCCCAAAAGGCTGATCCTCACACCGAGTGTATGTGTTTTTTAAAAATCACATTAAAATTAGTTCCATTATGTCGACATTCTTAGAAAAAAAAACTTTTGGCACATCGTAAACAGAACCATTGTAACCTTTCTCTTATGAAATTATAAACAACTGTGTTTACTCACAGATATAGTTCTCAAGTAGCACTGAACTGTACAAAAGATTTCCTTTGGGAGTAACTGAAAATTTATTTGAGCAAATAACTTGTATGCTATCACTAAATGAAGAAAACCAAAAACATCTGGAAATTGTGAGTGAGTTCACTAATGGAGGAGAAATGTTCTTATGCTTAAAATAAAGCACTATTTAAGACTTCCAGTGACTTTTAATAACTATGAAACCCACTTTGAAATCACCAGGGGAAGACACAGGGCTTTTACTAGGATTTTCCATGAAATGATGCATAAGGATGGTATTTTCGGCACATTCGGGATGAAATGAAATGCCATCAATCAGGTCATGAGGAGCTACTGAAGTCAGAGGGAAATGCCATGGAAATAAGGATCTTTTACTAACTTAAAAATGCTGCTTGTCAAGAAAGCAGATTTTTTAAAAAAATATTTGAAAATCAGAGCTATAGAGAGAGGGGGAGAGAGAAACAAGGAGAGAGATCTTCCATCTGCTGGTTTACCCCTAAATGGGTACAATAGCCAGGGCTGAGCCAGGCTGATGCCAGGAGCCAGGAGCTTCATCTGGGTCTCCCATGGGGGTGGCAGGGGCTCAAGTACTTGGGTCATCTGCTGTTGCTTTTCCCAGGCCATAGCAGAGAGCTGGATTGGAAGTGAAGCAGCCAGGACAGGAACCAGTGCCCAAATGGGATGCTGACATCATAGGTGGCGACTTAACCTGCTATGCCACAATGTCAGCCATGGATTATGTTTTATAAAAAAAATTATCTGTCCTTTGAACTGAATCTTGAGTGGCCTGGGGCTCTCCACTCATGTGCAGTGCTCAGCTTTTTAGAAAAGTTAGCGTCAGTTGTGAGTGTGTATGTGAAAGAATATGCATACGGCAAATAAACATTTAAAGGCTTGTTGCATTTGCAGACATAAAAATATGATTTCATTCTGAAAGTGGGGCACAGGCATCAGGTCACTTTTTAAATTGCAGTGCCACCAAAAGGGCACGGATGTAGCTCGCACACAGGCCCGGCTCGCAGTGGCTCTGGAACAGACAGCTTGGTGCTGGGCCCCCATTCCCTACCCCTCACTACCGCCGTAGCAATCCCAACCTCGCAAGGCCTTCTGATCTGTGGGAAGCAGTGGGGAGGTCTCTAGCATACTCCGTGGAGTGCCCGAGACCCACCAAGGGCAGCTTTCATTGCTTCTGTGATAAATGCTGTGGCATTGCTAGAGAGAGGAGCTGGCGATGAGACACTTGCAACTCCCCTTTGAGGAGAGATGTGTGACCACAGGGGTTGCAACAGAGTTTTAAATGCATTAGCAAAAAGCAGCAGAAAGAGGTACTGGGATGTCCATCATGATAGGCAATTTGGAGGGCTGGGGAGAAGGGTGTTTCACGCAGAAGGAAGGAGTGTGCAGTGGGCTTGAGGGTGTGGTGCGCTTGGTCACAGCTAGAGAAGAGGTTCAGGGTGGCAGCCCCCAGGATGGGAAGGGGGAGATGGCAGGGGGCGAGTGGGTCAGCAAAACAGATATGTGCTAGGCTAAGCATTATCTGAGTGCTGATATATAACTGTATTACATAATGGGACTGCACCTGACTATTTTAAGTCAGGTGCAAGAGATGCAGAGATAAAATAGATTCATTCATTCATTCACTCATTCATTTAAGAAATGACTTTGGAGGGCCTACCATATGCCAGACTTTTTTTTTTAAAAGACATTGGCGAAACTAGTGGACAGAATAAAGTATTTGTTCTAGAGAAGGGGGCATTTGATAAACAAAGAAAAAATGGTAGGGCTATGGAGGAAACTAAAGTAGGGTAGGGAACAGTGTGGGTAGGGGTTGAGGTCTCCTACTTCATACTGAGTGGCCAGGGAAGGCCTCTGACACAGTGACATAATGAACAGACAGGTGAGGAGTGAGAAAGTGAGCATTCCAGGGAGAAGAGCAGGTGCAAAGGCCCTGGGCCATGCTTGTTTTTAATGTTTCAGGAATATCAAAGACCATCTTCCTCTGTTTTTCCATGTGCCTTAGCCAGGAGCTGGATCAGAAGTGGAGCAGCTGGAACACTAACTGGCATCCATACGGGGTACTGGCAATGCAGGTGATGGCTTAACCTGCTATACCATAATGCCAGTCCCTCCATGAACTTTTTTTAGTATCCACACATACTAGCATGAAAACTGCTCTCAGGCCCAAGTGTTGGGTGTAATGGTTAAACCACCAGTTGGGGTGCTCACATCCCATGGCTGAGTGCCCAGGTTCTAGCCAGCTCACTTGCCAGTCCAGCTTCCTGCTAACGGACACCATGGGAGGCAGCGGTGATGGCTCAAGTACCAGGGTCTCTATTACCCATATGGAGACCTGGATTGAGTTCCCAGCTCCTGTCTTCAGCCTGGCCCAGCCCAAAACTGTTGTGGCCATTTGGGGAGTGAACCAGCAGACAGGAGTCAGTTTCTCTCTCTCCCTACTCCCCCCCCCCCCCCAACATGGGAGACCTGCATTGAGTTTTCAGGAGTCACTGTGGCCATTTGGGGAGTGAGACAGCAGCTGAGAATGCTCGTTTGCACACACTCCCCTTCTCTCTTTCTGCCTCTCAAATAAGTAAATAAATTTCAAAAAAGAAAGAAAGAAGAAAAGAAAGAAAATAACAACAAAAACCTGCTATTCCTTCAAAGGTTAGCTTGGTCTGAGGCCCCTTACGTGGCTGTCCTACCCTCTTCAGCGGTGCTTATCATACACTATTGCAAATATTGTCTGTTTGCGAATCTGTTTTTCCCTCTAAATCATTAAGGTTGGAATGTCAAGGGCATTTTCAAAATACCAAAATATTTTGGTTTCAACTTCTGTTGTTTACATTTCTCATATCTTGACTTAAATCAGAGAGTAAATAAATTACTTTCACAATTTCAACTCAGAGGCCCTTGTGCTGTTATGTCTCACATCACACCCTAAAACGTGGTGCCGTCGGACAGCACGCCAAGTATTCGTGTGCTGCAGTGACCCGCGTGCTGGGCTCTCGGGAGACAATGGGCCACAGCGTGGAAGGAGTTTGCAGGCAGAGATGTGATTTAAATGCCACCTCTGCAGACACAGGGTCTTCAGGGAGTAAGAGTCCTCAAACTTCAGAGAACTTCTAAAGGAGTAATAGAGAAAAGAAAACTTCTTTTTCTCCATTACTGGCATAAGACTTTGTAAAGCTCTGAGGATTACATGAAAAACGTGCACAGAACAGACAACCCAAGGTAACCGTGGAAGAGCTGGTACTTCCATTCATCACCTTCCTCCCTTTCCTGGTCATTCCTCCAGCAAGCGTCTGTTGAACACATAATACGTCCCAGGCACTGGAATTCAGGAGTGAACAAACACGGGGTCTGGTGCACAGGAGAGGCAGCAAGCACACGAGTGCCAGGGTCACGTATGCCATAAAGAGACACACGGGCCACTACAGAGAACCCAAGGAGAGAGCTCACCGTGCCTGGGCCTCCAGGGCGCATGTCCCGTTCAAGTCACGGAGCCACAGAGCACGAGTCCGGCTGTCCAGCTGTGCCTGCTGTTTCCTACCCCCAGCTTTACTGATCCTGGAGGGTCTCTTTGCTCTACCCTTTCTCCCTCCTGCCTGTGATAAGCGACCTAGCTAATAGCTTGCCCGAGCCAGGACTGACAGTATCAGAGAGCGTGCTGTCTACTGCAGTTTATGTGTGGCAGAAACCACAGTGCTAAGAGAAGAACCACATGGAACCATCAGTGTTTCTTGTTTGGCCTGACCACAAAGGGAACCGGACAAAACCCACTTCTAAACTGCATGTGAACTACAGTAGCCTTTTGTGACTGTTCATGGGGATGTTTCAGAAATCCACCTCCTCAGGGCAAACATAAGCTCATGTTTGAAACCTTGTGATAACCAATATTAATCCTCATGGGAAAGTCTTGACTTCGGGTTTTTTTTTTTTTTTTTCATTTTAGAAGCAGGCTAAAAAAGGGGGGGTGGGATTGTCTTTTGTTTGTTATGAATGTCCTGTTTGTTATCAAAGGTATGCTTCTAAGCTCTCTTAAGCAGTAGGCTTAGAAAGTATAAAGCATATAAAAATATCTTAAAAGAATTTAACACTTCATTGGCCATATAATTCCAACATAAAATGATCTCTGAGATAATGCAAAACCCTCCCATGTATTTAATAATTGTCTTTTGTTTTGCTTCCTCGACAAAGAGATTCATTGTAAAGTTATTATTTCCTTATTCTGGGTTTTCGGTGAAGCATAACACATTTTTGCCATAGAAAAGAACTTGGAAGGAAATGAACTGAAGCACAAGGTATCAACTCCAATGTAAAGAGAACTCAAAATCTGCATTTTCAGTGACACAGCTAGAGGCTGCTGGTTTTAGGAATGACCTCTCTTCTGGGTACTTGGCAGTTGTTAAAAAGAGTTCAAAAACAAACCAAAGAACAAAGGCTCTAGACTGCACCCCCTGCTTCTTCCTTATTTATCTCACTCTGGGCAGTCCAACAGGACGCTTTATTACAAGGTCAGCTTCCAAAGCCTACCTGAAAAAACTGCACTTTAATTTTTGGCCTTTGGAAGCCACTCAAGTTTTTATTCGTTGCCACTGGGTTGCTAACCAGTTTTTAATTCAAACGTATGTAAGACACTCATGTGAAATATAAAGAAACGAATAGAAATGGGTAACTCATGGGCCTGTGCCTGCTTCAACAGGCCCTCTCTGGAGAAGATTGTTGTACCATCAAAAGAAATGAAAAAGACGCACAACAAAGGGAAATACACGTCCACTTTCCACACTGCCTTCAAACAAGGCACACTGGGGCCAGCGTTGTGGCGTAGCCATGCCGGCATCCCATATGGGTGCAAGTTCATGTCCTGGCTGCTCCACTTCTAATCCAGCTCCCTGCACACGGAAAGCAGCACCTGGAGGATACCCCAGGTGCCTGGGCCCCTGCCACCCACGTGGAAGACCGCTGTGGCCATCTGGGGAGTGAACCAGGGAATGGGAGACCAATCTCTCTGTCTCTGTCTCTCCCTATCTCTCTGAAATTTTGACTTTCAAAATAAATAAATAAATCTTTTATCAACAGCAACAAACAAGGCAGGGTTACAGGTGCAAATCGATTATTTCCAAGACAGAGTCAGATCTGTGCCTGCCGCTGCCTTTGACAAGCAGACCTAGGGAAGCCCTTCTCCGTGGGTCTGCCCCAAGGAGCCCTGCTGAGGCCAAAGGCACCTGCTTCTCTTTCTCATAAAAAATTAGCAAAGAAAAGAAGGGAAAAACCAGCTTTCCCTAGGAGCTGCCACTTGCCACGCTGTGACAGCTGAATCTGAGTGTACCAGGAGAATTCTCAAGGACATTACTAATGAGCACAAAATCCACCTTAATGGAAAATGAAATCAGAAAAAAAAAATACCCATTCACAGTGGCCATGTAAATTCTGGCATCTCAATGGGTTGCTACAGGAGACTTGAAACAAAAGAAATACTAGTTAAACAGAATTCTAGGAAGGATAACCCAAATACAGACTGCTCATCTCTAAAATGGGGGAATTATTGCTATTTTACCAGGAAACCAAATTACTATTTGTTTTATGTAATGCTCCATATATCAAAAACCAAGACATCATAACACAGTGACCAGGGGGAGGAATTTTACTAGTGGAAAATAGATCTTTTCACAGTCCTTCATGAATAGTATTTTTTTTCAGTGTAAGAAATATATGCGTCCATAAATAGAAATATTCTCCAGTCTTGTGGAGTGATGCCTTATTTTTTTTCTTTTGGGCAGTTGTGATAGAAAGGGGACATGGACTTACTCTGGGTTTTAATTCACCACCTAATTTTATCCCCTAACTGAAACTGCCATGATGACAACGATTATTAATAGTGAATGCCTACAATGTGCCCACGGCAGGCTGGGCGCTGATTGGCAGCCTCACATGGGGGTGGCCCATGAGAATAGGACCTGGCAGAGGGAGGGAGCCCTGGAGATTTTTTCCCCATGATTCATCCACTGCCAGGGCAGTTTCCACAAAAAGACGAAGGCAAACTGAGTTCAATGTGAATGTGAGTTCGGGCGCCACTTGGAATTTATGAGTTCACATTCTGAAGTTCACCCACAAAGGCTGCTCTGCTCCCTTTCATCTCATACAAGATAAGAGGCATAAAAGGGGAGAACTGAGAAGACCTCTCCAGCAGGCTGGCCAAGCCAATCTCCTTCCTGCTGAATGGCATGAGGGGCGGGTGCTTGCTCCAGCTGAGGACCGGGCGCGAGAAGGCAGGAAGCCAGAGAAAACATGGCATCATGGCGGAACCCACTCTTCAAAAGGTGCCCGCGGCAAAGCAAAGGATGTAGCCTGCTGCCTGCATCCCAGGCAAGGAAGCAGAAAGGAGCTGGAAAAAAGAGATGAAAGCAGTAGCCCAGACTCTGTGAAGTCACGCAGGAAGCTGCACTCCCCTCCTGTTACGTGGCGGGGCGAATGAAGAAGTACCCGTGACGTGCACTGAACTGAGGCCATAGAAGGAGTCTCCAGTACTAGTGCATGCAGGGCCCTGAGCGATTGTATGCAAAATTTTACGTGCGTGTGTGATTGTCTAAGAAAGGGGCCCAAGGCTTTCTGAGTCTTAATCTGCTGCAGTGTACGAATGCCACGGGTGCAGGGATTGTGGCTGTCATTAAACCCCAGCTCCTAGCACGGTCTCTGTATACAATATGATTTAATATACATTGTTGATTTAGATGAAGGGCCAGGTCTCTCTATATAATTAATATATCCAAAGTCAGAATTCAAGAAGAGGTTTGGCTTTCATTCTTGCCAAAAACAAAACTGGTAAGGTTGGAGGTGGAGTTGGAAGCATTTGGCAGTAGCAGGTTAAGTGCACATTCAAGAATTTCAAATGAGGCCCAAGGCAGTGACTGGACCGTGGAGCTGGAAGAAGAGGAAGCAGATACTTGGGTTCACATGGCCATGCCCTGAGATGACAAGTGGGAGGCCAGGAAAGTGCACTAAATCAGAAGACACAGATGACATAACAGCATTAGAGACATTTCCCTTGCTTGTGTAATTAAAACTGAATTTATGCTAAACCGGAAAGCTAATGAGGCAGTCCCTGTGACCAATCCACTACATCTCACCATCAGTAAGTTTCAGTCACTACAGAAATGCAGCAAGTCATGGAAAATCAAACCAGTAGCCTTATTGTTGTTGTTGTTGTTTTTGTTCTGTCTTACTTTGTGGGAAAAAAAAAAAAAAAAAAAACTAAAGAAAAATCCCCATGTCATTAAAGTAGATTATCTTCACCAGCAAGTAGAATAACTTACAAAGCAAATTTCTCAAGGAATATAGAATTCTTGACACTTGCTTTTCTAACCAGTCACAGCCTGTCACTTATTTCCTTATCCCTCATTGAAGGCTAACAATATCCCACACATACATGCAAGCATATGTGCCCAGGCCCATCTCAGCCGCCCTCTTACGTGTTAGCTACTCACCTCAAAATGCTGGGTGTGTCCACCATCCCTTTCCTTTTCTTTGCTATAAACAACAGTAAAAACAATAGAATACCATAAATTGTCCACTTATTTTGTAACAATGCTTTTCATCCACTATGATTTCATTTGTTTTAAAAGTATATTGAATAAGTAAACCCTTAAAAAAATAAATAAAATTCTCAACTTCAAAAACAAAACAAAGCAAAGCAGTAATCAAAATAAAACACACACACCAGAAACAGAAGCAAACAGGAATGAGGTTTTTTTTTTTCTTTTAATAGTACCACAGTAAGTTTTCCATTCTAAGTCTGTTCCTTGTAATAAAATAGTAGTGGTAAACACACAGTTCTTTAATTCTATTCTTTTTAGTTCTTATAACTAAATGCATTAAACGAAAAAAACTCTTCATATCCTTTGAAGACAATGCAATGAGAAAATTCTTAAATTACCTTTCATCAGACATGGGTTCCACATCATCGGGTGTTGTCCTCACATGAGATCGTGTAGAACTGAGACTTTCCGTATCCTGCAACAGGACAATTGTTGATTGCCCAATAGGCATGACAAGAAATATGCAACAGCAGAGTTCCCTTTCTCTAAAACAGAGCAACCATTTAATATGGAGTTGGAAACTAATTCTACCCATCACACTTCAATCCCTGTTAAAAACCAGTAAAATTATAAGTGTAATATATTCTGCCTGCATCAAACTGTGCATTTTTACTATAGCTTAAACAGAGACATCTGATAATGCCATAGAAATGGTCACTGTGTCCTGATCATCTTTATTAGATGTTATCCACATTTCCTTGCTAACATGGCAAAACCCACACTGTCAGAGAGCCAGGGTGGCTTAGAATTAGGATCGAGAAATCTGATCTTGAATCTAATCAGAAATTGGTATGACATTTACTATTAACTTATTGATGTATATGTTTTTACATATACTGCCAATATGATTTGGAGTAATATGTAGCTTATACTTAAGCTGTAAAACATCCATACAAAGAAATAGAGTTCATTTAAAAAACTTTTCTATGATGTTTACTGTTATCTTTCTTTTCTTTTCTTTTTTTTTTTTTGGACAGGCAGAGTTAGACAGTGAGAAAGAAAGAGAGAAAGGTCTTCCTTTTTCCGTTGGTTCACCCCCCAATTGGCTGTTGCCGCCTGCGCGCTGCGCTGATCCGAAGCCAGGAGCCAGGTGCTTCCTCCTTGTCTCCCATGCGGGTGCAGGGCCCAAGCACTTGGGCCATCCTCCACTGCCCTCCCAGGCCACAGCAGAGAGCTGGACTGAAAGAAGAGCAACCGGGACAGAATCCGGCGCCCTGACCAGGACTAGAACCTGGGGTGCTGGCACCACAGGCAGAGGATTAGCCTAGTAAGCCACAGCGCTGGCAATGCTATCTTTCAATAAGCTAAGCTGAACAAAATAGAAACAGGAAACTTACTTTGAGTGGTCTGTATGCCAAGCTGACCAAGTAGGCACAATGCTTACAGGTGGGCATATCTGTAGAGTTTTTACTGCCTCTGTGAATATGGCCAAAACTTTCTAAATATAACCCATGTAACTGAGAACAGAGTAAGTAAGCCATCCTCATGAAGGAAGAACAGATAAGCAAACAGGAGAAAATTTTAATTCAATAGACTCCAAACACAGCTGCCTTGGAAACCTGGATCTGAATTTCGTTGAAACAGAGATCCATAGAGGTACATAAAAAGGACATTAAACATAACACACACATCCTGTGTCATCAAACTAAACCAACATATATTAAAGCAACATGCATTCAGCTACTTATTAATAACATACCATTATGGAGACACTGCTAAAATTGATTAGAGTTCACCATAATTCCATGAAATGAGCATTTATTTTTAAAAATTCCTTAAAATATAATTCAAGAAGAAAATCAATCTTTGACATGGTTTGTGAATGGACTATTTTCCTTTTATGTTGGTTTGGCCAACTTGTCTCGAATTCTGTTTGACACCCTAGACTCCATCAAAGAACCGAACCCAAGAAGACTGCGTAACATAAAAGTTATCTCATCCACTGCCTCCCAGGATGTGCATTTAGCAGGAAGCTGGATTGGAAGTGAAGGTGGGACTTAAGTGGTATAATATGGGATAAGGGTGTCCCAAATGACAGCTTAACTTGTTATGACACAGTGCCCACCCACAGGCTAGATAATTTTAGAATGGATCTGAGAAATAAAAATTATATATATATATATATAACAACATTCAATTATATTTATACCTGAAAGACTGAGTGACAAGAGGCCTCCATAAAGTGACTCCCATTAAACCAAAACTTAATTAATTATCTGAATGTGACCTTCCTGACAAGGGATCTTCGTTCCCACTGGTATCTTTGACAGATTATCAGAAACTGTAGTGTGAGATCTTAGTATTAGGTTTTCCTGAAGCTCGGAAACATGAATTCTCAGGGAAACACAATCCTCTATCTTCAGAACATTTCAGAAAAGAGGCAATGAAAATGGTACATTTATAATTATATGTTGATGATTATTTCAGTTGTGATGAACATTTTGAGCTTGAAGCTAATGAGTATTCAAAAAGGAGAGAACAGAAAATAAACCATGATAGAATTACATAAATGTAGAGAGATTTCTATTAAAAGATGTTAGAAGATGTTTTGTTTTCCCCTAAGCTGAAGGAATCAATACAGGCTTAGTTACATTACACAGTAGGAATCTTTGCAAAAAGCAGTTGTGAGACGCGATAAAGTTTAGCTGATCTCCAGGATTAAAACAAATATTAACTTTGCCCATTCCCTCCCTTCTTTTTAATCTTTGATTCTTGTGTGTAAGAACTGCAATGACCTGAGTTTTCACAGATGCAGTGCACAGAGGATGACTCTCAGTACTGCTCCGCAACTGGCACGCCGTTGAATATCCCGGGTCTGATTTCACCGGAGGCATGCGAGTACATGGTGTTCCTCAGCTTAGGTGTCTGGGCTGCACCTATGCATTCTGGAAACAGGGAGCCTCTGAGCAACAACTGGCCAAGCACCCCAGCTGCTGTGGAATGAAACTGAGGAGGGCAGTGAAGATGCATGAGTGCAGCAAAAAAACCATCTATTCCCACAGGCACAAAATGCTTTACAAACTCTTAATTTTCAACCTTTGTCAAGGGATTGGGGAGGAGAGGTTAAGAAAGAGATCAGTAATTCCCCCACCTCACCGAGATGGGGAAGGGGAAAATGTATCCAACAGATAAAACAACGCTGAGACGCAGAATGCTCCCATTTGATGAGAAGCACACTTTCTGATTTTCCGATGTGCTGTGGTTGCTAACAGCACTTGCCTTATGAGAAAAGAGTGACTCAGTGTCTTTTGAAGGTATTGAACGATTTAAAGTTCCAAACACAACTCTCTGTGTGGTAAAAGAGTAGTCCATTAATGTTTGCATTTATTAAACACTCAAGCGATAGAATTCTTACAGAAATGCTTTATTGCAGAAACTTTTAATTACCTTTAAAAATTTAAAGTATTTTATTTTAAATAAAAGGTAATAGGCAATTTGAGAAAAAATACAAAGAACAGATTGACCCCAGGTCCTTTAGTGTGGGAAGCAGGCATTCGAACTTGCACCCTAACTGCTGGGGCAAATGCCTACCCAAAAATAGTCATTTAAAAATCAGACACACCATAGTTTATAAACTATGAAACTCCAACTCATATATGTACTACCAGTGAATTTCAAGACATAGATTCATGAAAACATTTATTTTCATAGTTCCTGGGTGTCAGAAGAAACTGAATTTTAAAACCCACACTCCTTAATTATAAAAATAACTCCAAATCTCAAAGAGCAAATGCCCGGATAAAGCTAACTTCATTTTTAACCCCTTTATTTTGAATCTTCCCCCACTTCACCTCATATTGGCATTGAGAGCTTAGGCTCAAATTATTTCTGACCACTGACTGAAGTAGCACTTGAAAACACTTGCAGCAAAGACCGATTTATCTTCTAAAACTGTTACATGCTGACCAAGCCTTTAAAGAGGGGACACACACACACACACACACACACACTGTCCTTCTCTTAATATATAAACAGCTCAGTCTGCAGCTGCAGGAACATTGTTAGTCAAAACAGGTTCCTTACTCTAACCTTGAGCTGTCAGCCTATGGCCTCATTAACAAGGGATTAATGACAGGTTTGAATTCCTTTGTGTTCCCTCTTTACATTTTATGCTTTATGCTTAAAGCCGTATAAGTTAATCTATATTCAAAAAGCATTACTAGTATCGTAAGTGAAGCCTGTGGAAGCACTTGCCACGTCCACCCAAACCCATTCTACATTTCCAGCATGGTAACGAAGCAGCCACACACGTTTCTCAGCCTCTCCGGTGATTAGATAGGACTTCTCACTAACAGGGTTAGAGAAGTGACGTCTGTGGCTTCTTGGCCTGGCCAATCAGCTTCCCTACCAAGGACCTTCCTCAGTGCCCAGCTCCACCTTCTGGAGGCAGGAAAGCAGATAAACTCCACGAGTGTGCACTGGACGCTCCTTGCTGAAGGAGACAGAGATACAGTTGGCCTGGTCCCTGAAATACTGCAAGGGGAGCACTTCTTCCCCCCCACCCCAATCTCCTGCCGCCGATCGTCACGTGAGAAGGAACTTCTACCATGTCTGAGACATTGCGTTTTGGGTCTTTGTGATGCACAAGTTACTCTAAGCTACATGGCGATGATTCATTAATTATTTTTCAACACATCTTTGGTGAGTGCTGACCAGGCTGGGCCATGGGGGTAGGATGATGAATGGCAGGCCACACGGGCACTTATCCTTGCTGCTATGACTTCTGTGGTCAGACGTCCATACCAGCCCAGCTATAGTTTGTTTGTTTTTGGAAAACATTTAAAAATTTTCTTTATTTATTTTCACTTTACTTGAAAGACAAAGAGACTGAGAAATCTTCTACCCACTGGTTCACTATAGAAATGCCTGTGACGGCAGGCCACGCCTAAGCCAGGAACCCAGAACTCAATCCAGGTTTCCCACGTGGGTGGCAGGGGCTCTGAGCCATCACTCACTCGCTGCCTCCCAGGGTGTGCATTAGTAGGAAGCGGGCAGGAAGCAGAGCTAGGACTTCAATCAGGCACTCTGATGCAGGATGCAGGCACCCCAAGTGGCATCCTTACCACCGAGCCAAATGCCCTCCTCCAACTTAGTTTGCTTCTATTACTTCCAGTTCTATGATAGGGTCTATTTGAATAATAGTAACATGAAACATCAGTTGACAAAACAAAGAATTCAAAGAGGACAGCACATATTTTTTTTTTTCCTTACTCAATAGTACATAAAGGAAAGAAATCTTTGATGTGTGTAGAAACATGGTGAGATGGTGAGATGGATCTAGTTAGGATAGTATTCGTTGTTGTTGTTCTTTTTTTTTTTTTTTTTTTAAGATTTATTTAGTTGAAAGCCATAGTTGCAGTGAGAGACAGATGGAATGACAGATAGATCTTCCATCTTCTGGTTCACTCCCCAAAT